TATAATTTAATTAACAAATTAATACAGATGAGTACAGATTTTTACAAATGTGGAAAGTTAAAAGAAGTTCTCTGAGAAATGAACATTATAAAAAAATTCACTAGTTTTCCGTTTGACCAATTAATCGATCTGTCAATTAATTAAGGTTTTTAGTTGAGATAAAAAGTCAGTGTCACGAGCGGGATTCGAACCCACGACCCTTGGCTAAATACGCCGCTGCTCTAACCACGTGACTTCGATCCATTCGGACACTTAACTTCCCATCTCAACCCCACCTTTTTTGAATGTTCCCTCCTTTTTGCCATTTTTCAAATGTGTTTGATTCTCGGCAACAAATGAAATGACCACGGAGAATTTTAATGAAGATATACTTCATTTTAACTTATTAAATTCACTAGTTTTTTTGGTCCGCTTGACCAATTATAAAAAAAAGATGAGCAACATCCTGCCAGTAATGCCATTTTGCTTCAGTCGATGGTTGAGGAAGCTGCAAGGCCGTGACTGAGGATCCATTTTCTTTCCAATAGGACAGCAGAAGCTCTGGTATTAGCAGCTGATGGTCGATGAAGCCGAAGGCAGCAAGTGTTTTGTTCAACTTAGTATCGTCATTTGCACAATTTTGATTATGCCACTTCACAAATATATTCGTTTACTTCTTGTCTTCTTCGTTTGACTTTTGATTTCAATGTGATATCAAATATGCATCTTTGTGCGCGTTTGACACTTTAAAAAAAACAAAAACAATATGTATAATTCAAGTGAGGGAATGCGAAAAACTAAATGTGCTAGACTTGTGAAGTTTACAATCAGAAAGTCTCATTTTAAACTGTGGTGCTGAGGGATTCGGCTTAACAATAAAAATTTTAAAAGTGTACATTGAGTCTATCACTTCCCGCAGTCCATGGCAATTCTAGGTTTTATAACTTACAATAAATAAAGGCAGGCCTTGAGAATCACCCACTCCAGGTGTTGGCAGTCCTGAGTACGATGTTCTTGTCCATCCACTGCTAAGGTTGGGCTTCAGCGGCTATCAACAGCTAGGTCATTTCAGCCCCCAACGCATTCAGTTCCTAAATCTGTTCAAAGTCTCACTCACCCTTAACTACATTTATTCTTATTTACCAACTGTTTGCTCAGTTAGCGTGGTAGAGTCCTCAAGATTCGTCGATATCACCCTTTACACCTATGTATACCTAAGGTTAATGGTGACTCAATATTTCACTATCACCCCTCTCACACTTTACGTTCACTCTCAATGGACTCTAGGGTCACAAAACAGTTGGTTTATCAGGAGTCCTAGATACTCATTGCCATGCTTTAGCACAATTCTCATATTGGGTGGCATTCCTATGCGCTCCCTATAAGGAACCAAGGAATTGTACTCTTCAGTTAGGTGGGGCATTGGGCAACCTCTCTCTGCATGCCGGACATGCTTTGGCCCGATCGTAGTACAAATAATGTAGTTCAGCAGTTAGTACTTGGTTTAGTTTGTTATTTGTAGTTATTCTTATTATAAAAAAAATTAAATCGTTTAGCGTTGAGTAATAACAATTGGTTATTTTTGTTGAACAGGTAACTTAATAAGATACATTGTAAACTGTTGCCCAGAGAAGATTTTATGAGCGTGTGCTCTTGTCGAAGAAGGTTGATAATAATCAAATTGAAGAAATAAAGAAGCCTACTTTAACAATGTTTTTAGTTTGCAAATAAACTTGATATTTATTGATTCAAAGTTTTTTTTTTTAATTTTAGAAAGTTTTTACTAGCAATTTAAGATGTTTTGCTTTGTGTTACTTAGTATTTGGTAATTAAAAAGTATTTTTATTGGTAAGAGTTTTTGGATTCAGCTTTCTGTTGTATTGACAATGGATTAAGAAGGGCAAAGGAAAACCCTGAAGAAGAGTTTTAGTTATGGAAGTCGGTTTAAATTAAAAAAAAAATTTTTTTGCATAATTTATAATCAATATAAATAAATTTAATTAATCAGTAGAGAACTTAACTGTTATGCTTTTAAATTGTAATTCAACTCTAAAATGTTACTGTTATGTTATTACACCTATTATTTTTGTCTTGTCAAGTTTTATTGTAAATACAGACAAAAATAAACATTTCTGGTTCAGACCTGTGATATATTTGGAACTACTCGTGATTCTTTTCTTTCGAGCGTTTTGTTGGTTTAAATGTAAATGATTTCGGGGTATCACATTTCACAATTTGCCCTTATTGATTTTTATATAAATAGGCTCAAGCGGTTTCAATTAGATATTTACCAATTAACCATTAGTGTTCTTTTATTTAACGATATTAGGTGTGCAAATGATAGCCGACATATAAAATTAATGTACCTGTTTCAAAAAACGATTCCCATTGCTTGTTTTCATCGTGATACAAGCTTGTCTAATTTTCTAAATTTTCCAATTGTCATTAATGAAAATATTTTTACCAAATCGGTGGATTCTTCAAGACTATCTTTATATATTAAAAAAAAAAAGTCGGAATTTATAAACTGATGAACTGTATCAAAAATGCTTTGTAAATTTTCAAATTTGGGATACTTTCACCGTAATGTTGGTACTTCTGCATTCTATTTCTGAGCATAATTTAGAAACAAGTTTTGCAAATAAATACATACTTAATAATTGTTAGTTGATAGTAGAACTTGCTTAATTGAACAAAACATCTCATGATACAAAAACAAATTTCAATTAAAATTACGAGAGCACTGATTGAGCTTTATTTATTTAATTTTTTTAAAATTAATTTTTTTGACTTTTCAAAAGTCCAGATGTATTGAAATGTATTTATCTCCTCGTATTGACCTAGTGATAAATTACAGTTGGTTATCCAGTTTTTACTTCTGGCTATAACCTACAAGGTCAAAATCTACTAGTACAATTAAACTTTAATAGTTAATACATAAATTATAATTGAAAGCTAAGAAAATAAAACTTTTATAAAATTAGTATACTAATGTTCTAAATTCAATGTGATACATCAAACATTTTTACCAATGGGACTTTTTTAAATTTTATTTGGGTAAAAAAGTTTTTTAAAAATATGACAGTAGTCTTTAAAATAAAAATAAGTATGGTGAGTTAAAAAGATCTGGGTCCGGGTTTATTTACTATCCATTTGTACATATTTAAGATTTGTCCATCATAAATATTGCCATAATTGTTTTTACAGGGCTTTTTTAAGCAGCATTCGCTAAGAACATTGCTTCACAAGCCCTTCGAATTTTGAATAATTAGAATCTGGACTGGGAAACTTATTGGTATTTTTAATTCTGTCTAGCCATCTTGCATTGTTAACGCAATTTGACTACAAATAATGTGACCGTTAGTCGATAATTATTCAGAAATCGTGAGATGCGGTCTGGTGTGATGTAGGTTTCAGAAAAACATATAAAGATAAAGAAAATGTTTTTCTGAAACCTACGTCACACCAGACCGCATCTCACGATTTCTGAATAACTACAAATAATATTTATAATAATTTATTAAAAAGGTTTTATTATTATTATTTTTTTATTATGTTTTTGAGAGAAGAGGAGTGTGAAAAAAAGGTAAGTGCGACAGCGGGAATTGAACACGCCAACAGGATGCCCACGAGCCGAGAGTCTTATCAATTCAATTCGCTAAAGATTAAAAATCTCAAGTATTTAATTTTCATTTTAATATAATTGATCTTTGAATTTTGAATTTGATTTTTTTTTTAAGAAGTCAATTTGATGCTTGAATATAGAAACAAGTTAAACTTAATGTCTGAGAATTATGAGTAGAAAATATTTAGGAAATTATTTAAAACTGGAATCTCTAACCACTCCAAATTGGAAAACATGTGAACTGGTACGTTATTTGTTTTCTAAACAGTAAGAGAGTGTAGACAGAATTATCATAATCAATTTTGTAAGAGTGGTTATTGATTTTTTTTATGACAACCACCCTCTCTACAAAATCAATATGAATATTAGTTAAAGGTTTGATTGGAGACTAAGGAAGCTTCAAGAAGATGATCTTTTACAACAAAATAAATTAATTTATTTTGAATTAAAAATAAGTCTTGCTTTGTGTTTAACGAGACAATATCTTAATTTTGTACTTATTATTAAACGTCAATGATGGGGCCTACTTAATGCTTTATACCAATAATCAGTTGTTGGTAGTTTTATTATAAATTTATCTATCTGGTAACTTGAATAGTCCCATCAGCACTGCTTATGTTCAAAGCTGTATTCAACAAACTGCTTAAAAAGTTTTTATTAATAAAAAAATTAAATTTGATTGCTTGAAATGAAAAGTCAGTTTTTTTCTTGTCCATGGGTGGTTGTGGTGGTAAATTAATAATAATAATAACTGATTTAAACTCTATCTATATGGATTTTCTTTAATGGTAAGAAGACAAAACAATATTTTTTATAATGAATTAAGTGTTAATAGATTTGTGTTGAGTTAAGGGATATTTTGAAGAAAACAGCTGGCTGGGTTTATAACACAATTTTCAGCAGTTGCTAAAAATTGTTTGTCCCTAAACTAGGATTGTAGTGAAAACATGTAAATTTATTTGGTTGTATTTGCATGTAGTTCCTGGTTTACTATTCTTAGTTTTATCATTTGCAGGTATCTTATATTTTTTTATAGTCAACTTGCTCAATTTCATAAGATTTTGACTAACTACGTAAACCTGTAATCTTCTAGTTAGTCAGACAAGAGGATGTTAAACCTATTAAAAAGGGGGTTTATTATTACCAATAATTTTTATGATTTGATTGATTGAATTTTTTTTGTATAAACATAACTGTATAATCTGTACTGCCAAAAAAATTGTTTTATTTCATTTGAAATGTATACAGCTGAGTTGTTCATCTCTTGCATGCCCTATCAGTGTAATTTTATAAAAATATTTAAAATAACTGAATTTTGTTAAATTGTAAAGGTTAAAATTCAATGTGTTGATTTAAACGAAATTTTAAATGATCTTTTTCTGTTTCTCTATGTCAGGTTCAGCCTGCTGGCCTACAAGTGGAACCTCAAAGTACAACAGACAATGAGGCGGTTACAGCGCACTCGTGCAACGACGCCAACTGTACCTGCCAGGAGCCGGAGTTTCCTATAGAAAAACTAGCGATCCTGGATGCCAAGATTTCGAGCACCCGGTGGGTCGTACCCGTGCTACCTGAGCAGGAGTTGGAATGTCTCATGCAGGCAGCGATCAACCTTTGCCGGACGGGCGACGATGTCAAATCGGAAGCTTGCCAACAGTTCTTCCGCGAAGGTCTTACCATCTCGTTTACCAAAATACTCACAGATGAGGCGGTCAATTCGTGGAAATACAACATCCACCAGTTCATCTACCAGAACTGTCTCAGGCTAGTCGAACTCTGTGTAGTAAAGCTCTCTGATGATTGGTTTCCACTGCTGGACTTGCTCGCAATGGTTTTAAATCCAAACAATAGGTATGATCAAATTGTTAACATTAGCATCACAATTACTATTCACACACCATTTTTATTACAGGTTTCATACATTTAATGCGTCTAGAGCTAGTGAAACAGTACCTGCAGGTTCTAAGGTTCTTGAGGAGGAAATTTACGCTAGACCCCCAGACGCCACAAGGTCTCCGAGAGGTTGGCTAGTCGACTTGATCAATAAGTTCGGTAGTTTAGGAGGTTTCCAGAAGCTTGTTGATCGTTTTCAACCTGGAAATACTGTCCCAGTGCCTGTAATTCATGCTTTGATTCGACCTTTCGGCCCTTGTTATGAATTATTAACTGTACATACTATAGAAAAATATCTTATGCCAATAGTAGTAAGTATCTTTCTTTTTTTCTCTTTTCTTCTTGTGGCCCTCATTGATTCATTCTTGCTTGTTTTCCAGGAACGAGTGCCTCATTTTTTAGATAATCTTACAGATGAAGAGTTGAAGAAAGAAGCCAAAAATGAATCAAAAAATGATGCGATATCATCAATTATTAAATCAGCAAAATGTCTAGTATCTAGGGTTACCGGTCAAGAAGAAACAGTCAAACAATTAGAAATTTTTAGACTAAAAATGATCTTAAGGTTGGTATTTTTATCTTATTAAATTTTAAACAGAATACTATAAAACAAAAAATAAAAATTATAGATATTTCATAATTCATAAGTGCCTCTTTTTGAGTTAATAAAATATTTCATTTGCTTTTTATCTGTTTATAATAGAAAATAAAAGAATATTGGGCATTTCAATTATTCTGCACCACCTTAAACTGAAAAAATTATTAATTTATTTTATTTTTTCTAGGTTATTACAAATTTCATCGTTCAATGGTAAAATGAATGCATTGAACGAAGTCAATAAAGTTATTGCAGGAGTTTCTTATTATCCCCATCGGCATACGACGACAAATATGGATCCAGAAGGGGAATGGTTGACTCCCGAAAGGATGGCTGTAAGTTTTTCTTTATTTTATTTATCATTAAAAAAATTTAAAATATAAGAAATTTGACAGAGACAGATACAATAAGAAATTAGAAAGAAAAAAATCGGGCGGGGCTGTGTTGGGGTGTTAGCAAGAAGTCACTTTTAGTGAATTGAATTAAAGTGAAAACAAAGCTATTGAGTGTGTACCAAATTATTCAGAAATCGTGAGATGTGGTCTGGTGTGATAGGTTTCAGAAAAACATTTTCTTTATCGTGCCAACGTTTCGATTTTTATTGAGATCATCTTCAGGGCCTGGGATTTACAAACATTGTTTACATTTAACAAATACATTTAGGATGTGGAAAAGTGAATTTATACAATGCAAAATATATTTTTTATATTCAATCAAAGTATTTCTACTCACTCAAAGTGTTTGTCTTCTGTGTAATTGTGCCATTCTTGTGTGTCGTTTCCCTTTGTCGGCTCTTTTCACCTCAAAGAAGCCGACGCCTTATACAAAAATGTCTTTTCTATACCGACTTCCTTCCCCACCCCTTCAAAATCTAACGTATATAAACATAAAACAGCAAAATCTCACTGTCACTCTCAACACGACACGCAAGAATGGCACAATTACACAGAAGACAAACACTTTGAGTGAGTAGAAATACTTTGATTGAATATAAAAAATATATTTCGCATTGTATAAATTCACTTTTCCACATCCTAAATGTATTTGTTAAATGTAAACAATGTTTGTAAATCCCAGGCCCTGAAGATGATCTCAATAAAGATCGAAATGGCACGATAAAGAAAATGTTTTTCTGAAACCTACATTACACCAGACCGCATCTCACGATTTCTGAATAATTATCGATTAATGGTCACTAATCACCACACATGTGCACCAAATTTTATTTTAACAAAGCGGGAACATAACATTTTTGGCTGGTGCTTTGTGATATGAATGGCATGAGAATAAACAGCAATTTCTGACTTTAATGTCCACTGGGCATTTGTTACCGAATAAAGGTTGAAACAATGGCAAAAAAAATGAAAAAGGTGTTTTTTTAAACTACCTCCATCTCGACCGCTCCTCATGAGTCCAATATAACATAAAATTAATAAATTAATTATAATTAATAAATAAAACAAACAAAATTAATAAATAAAATATATAACATAAAATTATGTTTTAATTGGTCCTATTGCTGGACCAGATCAATTATTCGGATGTGATTTATAATTTCATGTAAAATGTGGTTGAGATGAAAAGGTTATACGAGGAACACACCCGGCAGGCAACGCAAGTCACCCAAAGCCACCCATTGCCAATCTCATGTCCAATTTTCTGTAAGATTGCATTACCCCAGAGAATATCTGCCTGTCACCATGCAACACTTCTTTTGCAACCAAGTCCCCCACTGTCCAGTTTTTTTGTCAAGTAGCGTCAAATACGGTCGAAGACAGAAGAACTGGACACTCATATTTTTTGTCGTTTATTTCAAACTAGATGTATTTTTGCCGTTATTTTATTTACGACATGCTTATTTAAAAAAATAAGGAAATAATAAACAAAGCTAATTTTTAATATATAAACTAAATTAAACAACATCAAAATTCATGAGTTTTAATAAAAATTATTTATTTACAATGGTTTGACAGAAAATGTATCAGAACACCGGAATACCATTTAGTGATAGAATGAATTTAACTAATCATTTATTACCTTGTTTTGTTCATAATAATGCATTAAGAGAAAAAGAGGTGTTGCATTTGTGATATGCGCTGGGTGACTCCTTGGCGAGGGCTTGACATCGAACAGATGTGCACACACTACTAAAACGAGACAAGGCATCAGGTCGAGTTGTATTGCGTCCAGTATGTCTGTTCCCTGTGGGACTCAAACCAATGACCTTTGGCTTAATTCGCCACTGCTCTAACCACGTGAGCTATTGTGACTTTGGTACCCCGAGACACCGAATTATCTCAACTTACAACTTTTTCAAACATTCTTTTTTGCCTCGTAAGGTTGTGGGTTCAAGTCGCGCTCGTGACACTAATCTTTTGATCTCCCTGATGATGAAACAGTTATATTGGCTTATTGTTCGCTCGGCCTTCTTTGAATACTCAAACTTTACCCTGTATAAATATGCCGCTCCATTCTTAATTGATATTGAACAAATAAGGGTGAAATTGCTACTTTTGACCTGTCACTGTCTTGATTAAATTACATTCTCTTCTTTGACAACTTGTTGTATTGATACAAAGTAGTTATGCTTAAATTAACATAAATATCTTAAATTAAAAATTGTATCGATAAAAATTGATTCTGATTCTTGGAAACTTACAAAATACAATCTCCTTAGATATAGAGGCATGAGTAAAGCAATATACTAACCTTTTTAAGCATAGAAACTTAACTTAATTTGTAAAATCTGAATTCCCAACTCTATTTAATTATGTTTTTCCTCCTAAAAAAGAAATGGATCAAGGAAAATGGTGTACTTCAAATAGTACTCCGAGATTCATTGCATCAACCGCAATACGTTGAGAAACTCGAAAAGATACTTCGATTTGTCATCAAGGAGCGTTGCCTGTCTTTGGAAGACCTGGACAGCCTTTGGGCGGCGCAACAGGGCAAACACGAAGCGATTGTGAAGAATGTGCACGACCTCTTGGCAAGGCTCGCCTGGGATTTTTCGCCCGAACAGCTCGACCATTTATTCGAGTGTTTCCAGTCGAGCTGGACGTCCGCAAACAAGAAACAGCGAGAGAAGCTGCTCGAGCTGATAAGGCGGCTCGCCGAGGATGACAAGGACGGTGTCATGGCACACAAAGTGCTCACCCTCTTCTGGAATCTAGCCCATTCTGATGATGTTGTGACTGAAATTATGGATCAGGCGCTTAGTGCTCATGTTAAAATATTAGATTATAGTTGTTCACAAGTAAGTTTCTCTTTTTGTGTATAGAAAATAAAAAAACAATTCTTTATTTTTTTATTTTAATAAATAGGAAAGAGATGCTCAAAAAACTGAGTGGTTACACAGATGTGTGAAGGAGTTGAAAAACAGCAAAAACTGGGTGTTACCAGCTCTAAAACAAATTAGGGAAATAGCTTGCCTATATGAATTGCCACCGAATGCTAAACAATTGAGTCATCACGTTTGTTATAGGTAAGTTTAACATGTTTTATGTAAATATAGTATTAAACTTTTTTCCTTTCGTAACTCCTTAGTTTATAAAACCCAAATGAATATATTTTCCAGACAAGAAGTCATAAACAGGTTGCAGACGGATCACGAGTTAGTAGTTCTGGTTACAAACAATTTGACAAATTACATGGAAAAAGTTAGGCAGATAGTTAAAGAAGATCCGAATTTAGATCCAAACGAATATTACCCCGATAAGAGGTACAACCACTTAGCACAAGTTCAAGAAAGACTTAATTTTCTGCGGTTCCTTCTGAAGGTAAATCACTGCGTATTTGTAATGTAAAATTAGATATTTAAAATGTTCTCTGGTGCAGGATGGACAGTTGTGGCTTTGCGCTGACCAGGCAAAACAGATTTGGCAGTGTTTAGCAGAAGGGGCTGTCTTCACCTCAGATCGAGAAGCATGTTTTAAGTGGTTCTCCAAACTGATGGGCGAGGAACCAGATTTGGACCCATCGGTGAACAAGGACTTCTTTCAGAACAACGTCCTCCAGCTGGATCCTTCGCTTCTGACTGAAAGCGGAATGAAGTAAGACTTTGTCGTTCTTGACACACCTCTTCATACTTAGAAATAAAAAAAATATTGTAGTGTACAATTTGAATCAAGATGTTTTACCATAGGGTATATGCTGTTTTTTAGGTGCTTCGAAAGATTTTTCAAAGCTGTGAATTCAAAGGAAGGAAAATTGAAAATGAAGAAACGAACCTTTTTAATGGATGATGTTGACCTGATCGGCAATGAATACATTTGGAGAGTAAGTTTAGAATTTTAAGCATAGTTTGGCGGCCACCCTATCAATAATGAAGTTTAAATTGTAATTACTTTTATTACCCTTATAGAAATAAAAATAAAAATTGAGCAACTTGCTAATTATTAAAAACTTAAAGTTGATGAGGGTGTTGGTCTGCGAGTAAGTGAACTCATGTTGAACCTGCACTGGGCTACGTATTGGGTCTGTATACACTTACGGGCTATTGAATTGCTCATTTTGTTTTGACATTACGCCATCTTCAGTGATGAACTGTGAACAGTTGAGAAATGGAAAAACTGCTCTTTTTAAGGATTGGATCAAAACTGTTCACTCATCAAAATGAATCAACTCTATTTCACGGCTCATTGCTCATCCTCACCAAATTTATTACTCATAATATGTAAACTTTCGCATGTTTTTCGAATTCCGTTGTGCCAGTTCTAGAGGGCCAAACAATCGTAAAGTTTCATTGAATTGCAGGGTTGTCGTATGAAAGAAATGACGAACTGTTAAACTTTTCTAGTTTTTTTATTATTGTCAAAAATAAATTAGGCAGAATTTAATTGAAATAAATAACAAGGGTATGGTTGTCTTCTTGATGTGGGTAAAAGCCCATAACAACAATAACTACAATAATAAAGTTGATACTCTCATAAAAGAGGCTGCCATCTCTGAGATAGTAAAACAAGAGGTCGACATAATCGCACACCTTACCAACTACTCCAAAGAGAAATGGCAAAAAGAATATGACACAACGAAGGCAGTTAAAGAGAAAGCATATGCAAGCATCCATTCTGCTTAAACCGTGGTTTAGCGTGGTCAATGGACAGAGAAAACTTTTTACCTCCATATGCAGACTTCACCTGAACCACAACAGTTTGCCACATCACCTTTATAAGATCGGCATAAAAGATAGCCTGGCCTGTGATTGCACCATAGCAGATCAGGACCACGTGCCCCCTTACTGCACACTAAAGGAGGAGTCGTATTCCATAATTGTGCAAAATGATCTATTGTTACCCATTAAAAAACAGTATGTTGCCTAAGTAACATAGGCAACCCTTATATCAGATCTGCATATGTAGCTTTCTTAGCAAATAATTTGATTGTATAAAATGGAGAGGGGTGGTTCGGGGCAGTCCGTGCTCTCCCTTAGTGTGGTGGGGCCCCGGTCGTGGGGCTTTCTAGGCCTCTAAGAGCACTTTGAATCCCGGAAAGTGAGAGAAGTGGTTTTGGTTAAGAGTTTTCCATATCACAGTAAATCTGATGAAAATGGTTTTTAACTACATCCTCCTGAAAGATCCGATAATGCACTCATAGGAAAAAATAAAATTGAGCACCTGGTTAGTCGCCCTGTTGACATGGGGGGGGGGTTTGGCTCCATCGCCTCGAGAGTGCTGTATTCATTCATACAGCAGACGTGATCTGCACAAAGTAAACGAAAGGGAAAAAAATATATAAAGAAGGTTGAAACATTTATCATTTCACTCTTATAACAGTTAACAACCGTTTTTCTTGCGAATGAATGAATAAAATTAAAAAACAAAAAAAAAAAAAAAAAAAAAAAAAAAAAAAAAACAATAATATAAATAAAACCAAATGCAATATTTTTTAAACAAGAATATAATAAGAAATTTCCATATATTTTTTAAAAACTTGCAAAGCTCATGTATATATAAACATTGGCATTGCTTGTAACTGTAAAACTTATAAATAAATAAGGGCTAGAGTAGTGCTCAAAGTTGGTAAATGAGATTGTATGAGATCGCCGCAGAAAAGCGGACTGGACAGCATGGAGAGGTCAATCAGGAGAGTTAAGAGCATTTAGAGTGGAAAATGGCGGGAAGGCAAACTGAGCAGTGATCGCTGAAGAGTTTTGATCAGAGGGAAAGGGATCTTTTTTCATTTTTGATCTTTTTTTCAGAGCTCAGTAATGTGAGTTAACTCTTGATCAGCTCGTGCATATAGCCCCATCTCTAAAGTGGGGAACACACTTACCTGACGCAGTGCTACCCGATGTGACACAAAACCACCCGGTGCAAATCCAAAATCCAATGCCATTTTCCATAAGATTGTATTACCCCTGTCCACATCTGCCCGATGCCACACAACGCTACCCTACTCCACACTACAAACACATAAAATTTAACTAACAATTTATTACATGGGTTTGTTCATAAAATTGCACAATTTTTATCGAGTAGCGTCAGAACCTGACACTCATATTTTTTGTAGTTTATTTCAAACTATGTATATGTAATTTTGTCGTTGTATTGAGTCAAACACCAAAACAATTTATAAAATAATTATGATACCAATTAAACAAAGACCATATAAATTTTGTTTGTTTTATAGGTAGTAACTTCAAGTGGTGATGACATGGCTGCTAGGGCGATTCAGCTGTTGAAAGAAGTCACGACAAACCTCGGCCCACGGTTGCAAGCATCCAGCATTCAATTCCACCAGACTTACATCAGTGAATGCTTAGACAGGCTGCGTGCTCATTATGATACTGTTGTCGTCCTCCGCACGGGAACTGCTGATGTGCCTAGGTAATTAAAATTTATACTTATCGAGTGATTAATTTTATTAACTGAAGTCTTGTCATTGATTTAATTATATATTATTTTTTTTAAAAACAGGATCCACTTAGAGTGTGTGAAAATGTGCCGTGTGCTTAAAGTGCTTAAAGAGTATATAAGCGAATACGATGGGGAGTTCAGTGGTGAAAGGAAATGCTTACCTTTATACAGGTATTTATTTTTTTCAATGAATAAAATTTAAAACTAGAACATTTAAAAAATTTTCTTCACAGAGCCTATAGAGGCAAACAAGTCTCTTTGACAGTAAGGTTTTCACAACCTGGGAGGATGATGGATGATGTAGAACTTCAGACACATGCCAATGAGACTGTCGGCATCGCCCGTCGTTACATCCTGAAGCGTAGCAAAGCTGGGGCGACACAACACGTCAAACTGGACTTGTATTTCAACGGTGAACTTTTAGACCCAAGCGATGATAGACGCCTTTTAGGAGAATTGTCATTTTCTGAAAAGATAGTATGTTTTAAAAGTAGTAGTTTTTTTAATGATAAAACATTTTTAATCTGTTACTTTTCTTGGTTTAGTTATTGACTGGAAAGTGGTCGCAAGCTAATGCCAACGTAGGTAGCTCACCAGATTCTTCATCTGATAGTAGTACTAGCTCTCCACAACATCCTTATGATGGCCCGAATATTGAAGCTGAAAACAGCCTTCCTGGTGTGGTAAGTTGGACCTGAATGAAATTGCCCTTTCTTAAAAATGATTATATAATGAATGTTGATTTTTTTTTTAAATTATGCTGTTTAGCTCCTTTCACAGCAGCCTCATACGACTGCAAGTCTGCTCAAAGTCTGTGATCTGGCATCGTCGCTTGGCAACACTGCTCTCGCTCAGGTGGCCTATTCCGTTCTGAACCTGTGCCCGCCTGACAACCACACACTCAACAAATTGCAGGAGCTGTTTTCAGATAATGAAAACAAGCCTAACGACCAGAATGAGGTAGTGACGATGGAGTCCATTTTGTACAACTCTCCTTCCCCACAAGTACTGTACAATTTGGAGGTAATATTTCCCCGTTAAATTAAATTAATCTGTTTGTTGTTGTTTACATTTGGGATAATACAAATTATATGTATTTTAGGTACTATACGCTTTGCTCATGCCTGCTGTGGATCCTTTGTCAGAAAAGATGCCTGTGTTCGAAATGCAGTTTAATTTCTTCAAAAGCCCCCATTCCTGTGCTTTGTTAGAAGTTTTGACTAAAAATGATTTCATGCCTTCAGCTGATATTACTGGAAAACGGTTAGTGTTTACATATATAAAATAATAAACAATAAAATATAAAACTTTATTCATATAAGTAAATGTTTAGGCACACATACTTGACCCTGTTGAAAATATGCAAATTGATGCTACTCGTCATTGGGCACATAGCATACTTGGCAGCTGAAAATCAAGCTCAACAGAGCGGTAACAACTGTCCTGTAAATAACAACGTAGCTGTACTGAACAAAGCACTGTGCAATATTCCTAGTCCTACAGGGGAGTGCGTACTAAGAAACGTATCGCTGAAAATTGCTCAAGCTTATATCGAAAAAGTACGGGTTTCATCAATTTGATCTCTCTCCAGAGACAATTTACTTTATTTTTGTACTCGTTTTAGTTTGGACCTGATAATAAATGGGTCTCATGGGCACCTTCCCAGAAGATGATATACACGTTAATGCAGCTTGCAAGAGCGTCAGCATGTGCCGATATCACACTTATGTCCGCAGAACCAACAGTAATGCATAGTATCATTTCAAAAGCCTCACCACACACTTTTGATATATTAGGTATTTCAATTGAGTACTTTTTTTTTTAAATTTTGTCTAACTTGTGTTTTTTTAAATAGTTTGTAAGGAAGCTCTTGAGGTATTGACAATCGTTTTGGTTATAAGCTCATCAACGTTGGAGTCGTTAATGGAGGATGTTAACTGGCAGTCTTTCATGATTGATTTAGTCCTTCTTAGCAGCAATAGGTATAAATCATAATTAATCAATTGATTGCTTAATCATCAATAATAAAGATAGAAGTCTTCAGAATCATTAACAAACAATTATTAATTATATAAAATCCATGACAAATCTTTTGTTCTTAAACTTGAAATATTACATTGCTTTTTATTTCCTCTCAGGAACATAAGGATAGTAGCAGCGGAACAATTTGTACTTATGGTTACATTTGGTCTTTCAAACAAACCTTTGCAATTTTGTATTATGCTTCTGTTCAGCGTACTTCACACGACAGTTCTTGAGCATGCCAAAAATTCGCACGAGTACTTTCAGGTAGTTTCTTAAAAGCATTTTTGCCTATAAATGAACTGATGGTTTATTTATATTCTGTTTATTCTTTAGTTACTCTGTCGGCTTTTAAATCTGGCGTACATGTACAACTGCCCGATACCCAATGTCGAAGGTCTACTGAACGACGAGATCAAGTGGCTGAAGCAGACTAAGGAGCACGTCAAAGAGACGGGACACACTGGGGTTGAAGAGGCCGTCCTCGATGGGCATTTGGGAATTGCGAAAGAACTTTTTGCTTTTGTATCTCCCGAAAAGAAGTTTCTTTTCGGCTCAGATGAAAACACTAATTGCAACTTGATCCAGGTGAGCCTTGATTTTGTATTGTTAATTTGCTCTTTTCTTTATTTCAACATTATATTTCAATTCATTAAGGCTTGCATTTGTAGTTAATATCTATAATTCAAAACTTGGAGAAGTATATTTCAACTAGTTCATATTTATTTATTATTATTTTTTAAATAAAAGTTGCATAGGAAAGCTATTTCAACATATTTGTTACAACATTGACTTGTAAATATTCTCCTCAGATAAGATCAAATTTTGATTAAATTTTTTTCTCCAGAAAATTGTAAAAATTTCCAAATTAAAACACAGTCTTCACAGTAATGTTAACAAAGAGATATACTAAAGACCTGTGACACCTATTCGATACCACCCAACACCCTGTAAAGGTGACCATTCACGATCACTCCAAATGGAACTGCGCCGAGCTGTAGAGTTCCATTTGGAGTGCCTGAAATTTGAGGGGGCACTGCCAGTCGCTACGATTGTCATTTAGTGACTTACTTCCTCAAAATGGATGACGATCTCTTGTACTCTGCTACTGTTTGTTTATATATAAAAAGCAAAAAACCGAAGAGGAAATGGTGTAAGAAGTGGCTCCTGAACATACGCCGTAATACCCACATCAATTTGATGAAAGATCTTTCCTTTGAACCCGCTGATTGGAGGAACTATTTAAGGATGGATGAAACGTCTTTTTAGTGACTGGGAGTTTTGTGGCCCTGAAAAGGGCCGGTGTTGTGTAGAGTCGGCGTGCCGATGAATCGAGGCCGTGACCGTGTGCGTGGCGCCGTTGGTCGGTGGTCTGTGACCATGATGAGTCTACCGTTGGCTGAGGTCCAGGGGCCGTGAGTCGGCTGACTCCACAGAGGCCGAAGGTTTTGGGATGCTGCGATTAGCCGAGAGCAGCGTTTGGCGTTTATAGCCAAGCCAGCTGTTAGAAGGCGAGATCAGGCTGATGCAGCGAGTACTTGCTGTCGTCGACGGTGTTCCTTTGGTGAGATCTCATCAGGTTGACGAGTCTCTTGTCGTTGTTGCCGATGTTGGTTACATTAGTGATGTATTAGATCTCGTCGGGTTGACGAGTCTGGTCCAGAGAGGCAGAGCCCTTGCTTATATAGGAAAGAGCTCTACTATTGGCTGCAGAGTGAAGGGCGAGAACATTCCATAAGTCGTAGTGGCATCTAGCGGTAACTTGTGGTAGCTGCAAGTGGCCACTACATTCACGATCACTCCAAATGGAACTGTGCCGAGCTGGTAGTTTCATTTGGAGTGCCTGAAATTTGAGGGGGCACTGCCAGTCGCTACGATCGTCATTTAGGGCGCTGACACACGGAGCGGTTTTGCTAGGTTGTGACACACGCAGCGGTATGATGTGCGTTTTGGCCGAAGCGGTTTTGTTTTCTCTCAGTTATTAAATGTATCCTATAGCAGTGCATATAAGCATTGAACGTCGCAAGGTTTTGCAGTTTGTATAACAAGTCCTGTTTAATAAATATATTGTTCTGTAACTGTATGTAACTTCGTGTATTAGTTACAGCCTTACAGACTATTCCCCCATGTAGTACTTTTTTTTTTTCTTTGATGAACATTCCATGGAACTGGCTACAAAGTGAAATCTCACAGTTATCTACACACTACGTCTCGTTCGGTTTTCTTTTCTCTATGAAGTTTTGAAAAATAGTCTTTAAAAATAAATATTTAAGTTGATTTATATTTAGCTGGGATCTCGGGTAGCCGAATAGGCGTGTCAGACTCTCGGCTTAGATCCTGCAGTTGTAGGTTCGATTCCCGTTTCGCTCCCCCCAACAAAAAAAAATCAATCCTCTCTGATCAATAAAAGTAAAGTAATTCCTGTTCAGAGTCAAGCAAGGTTTAAACTACTTTTCATTTTCATACTATAATTTAAAAGGCACAGAGCTGGGATTTGAACGAGGTCCCCTTCCTCCTCCAGATAATATTCAAAACAAAATCTTTATTAAACTAGTTACTACCATGTATCACCGACAGTCATACGCATACTTTGTACCCGTAAAGCTATAGAAATCATTTAATTATAGGGTGATGTACTTTCAAGTAGTTGTAAAGTTAAAAGAGACCCTGGAGGAAGGTGAGTTCGTTTTAAAAACGGTTGTTACTGTACAGCACCGTACAATCTGTAAATACGTAGATTTTTCCCCCCATTTTTAGTGGTGGTTAAGTATCAATATGTAAAGCTCTAGGTGTCAGGAAGTTGAGAATTAGCTAAAATTCTATTATTTATTAATCTTATTGAACTGGCATTGGCCCATTCCCCATGGAGTTCCCATGGATGAAGAGATACTTCTGGTGTCTCTGTTGTACTATCGTTGGAAGAAGAGAAGGGAGAAAAAAACACAGGAGAATGTGGGTTCATCCAATTGTCGAGAAGAGAAGCGAAAGAGGGCATTTTAAGAATTTGTTTTCAGAGATGAGGAAACACCCTGAAGAATGTTTTAACTTTACCAGGATGTAAATGGGCAGTTTTGACGAGTTACATAGTAAAATAAAATGCCTCATTACAAATTTTTTTTCTCCACGTCTATTTTTTGCATCTTAAAAGTAAATTAGAAGACTGACAAACAAACAACCCTTCAAGAAAGTGGGGTACGAACAGCTCGAATAAACGCCACGTGTGTCAGGGCTGATGCAATACTTGGGTACCACTCACCGCCTGGCGTTTTCAAAACCGACGCGTTGGATCGTCTCCGCCACCGACCGACTCGGTTTGAAAACCGACAGGCGGTTACGACCGCTACGTCTGTCAGGTTAATGCAACAGCAATGAACGACTCACCGCCTCGATTTTTCTCGCGATAAACGCTTCGGTCAAAACCGCTCCGTGTGTCATCGCCCTTAGTGACTTACTTCCTCAAAACGGATGACGATCTCTTGTACTATGCTACTGTTTGTTTATATATAAAAAGCAAAAAACCGAAGGGGAAATGGTGTAAGAAGTGGCTCCTGAACAGAAGCCGTAATACCCACATCAATTTGATGAAAGATCTTTCCTTTGAACTTGCTGATTGGAGGAACTATTTAAGGATGGATGAAACGTCTTATTTATTCATTTTATTTAGTGTTCTTTTGAACAAATTACTTCCTTCAATTAATTAATCTTTTTTTGTAAGGTTTTGGTTGAAATGAAAAAATTAGTGTCATGAGCGGGATTCAATCCCACGACCTTCGGCTAAATACCCTGCTGCTCTACCATTTGAGCTATCCTGACTGCTCCTTTCGGACACCAAAAAATGGCAAAAAAAGGGAAAATTTGAAAGGTTGTTGGTTGAGATAGGGAGTTGGTGTCCAAGTGGATCGAACTATCGAAGTCACGATAGCTCAAGTGGTTAGAGCAGCAGCATATTGAGACAATGGTTGGAGGTTCGAATCCCCCTCGTGACACTAATTTTTTCATTTCAACCAAAGCCTTACCAAAAAAAGTTATATTTAATCCAGCTTGTTACCCCCTTGATTAGAAAACAAAAGACAATCATGAGAGAAATCATCACTCAACTTGAAAGGTTTGGCAGCCACATTACGATTTCTCGCTACAGGGATGAACTATGAAGAGCTTAAGTTCTCTACTATGATTTCTGCTCAGCGCTTAGGGGTTATCAATACCGCATCTCTTGTTGCATTTGTATCTTTGGTTTTGAAAATGTTGGCCAACTGGTCGAAGGCTGAATTTCTTTTATTACTATCATGGTAATCATTGTCCACCACTTTCCATAAACATGGTAAACTTTTATACAATTTAATCACCTCAACAATAAAATCTCGATTGGATATCATTGCCAATAAAGAATAAACGTTTTTGACTTTTTGAGAATGTACGACGGAGATGTTTACACAGTGACAGAAAGACAGAGACTGCACCAAAAAAATACGGGTTTTCCCATTCACGACCAAGCCAGCGTGCCAAAATTTCACCGTTCACACCAGGTTTTCCCATTCGTGAACGCATCATGCCATTGTCGCGCCGTAGATGTTTGGAGTGGCGGAGCACGGCATGCCAGTTCAGTTTTACCATTGACGAGGTTTTTGGAATGGCGTTGCTCCGTTTGGACTGCTGGGAGCGATCATGAATGGCCACCTTAACAAGCTTTGAAAGCGGGGTTTTTTCATGACGAGGTGCATCGTTCTGGAACAACGTTATAAGGGGAAGGGTTTACTGTGTCTTTCCAGATTGCCAGCTAAACATGTTCATAATTAAAGTTTTATGTTTTAAAATAGGAGATATTGAAAAAAAAAAATTATCTTCATAGTCACTTTTAGTGAATGAAAACAAAACTGAGTGTGTGTCAAATTTTATTTTATCATAAAAGAGTTACTAAATGGTACATGATATTTATTGGGTTTTCTGGAAAACAATACAGGTTTTCAGGGTTTTTTTTCAGTTACCTCTCTATATAATAAATGTTTGATGGATTATTCTTTTGTACGAATGTCAACACTTTTTAATCCTCCTCTAAACAAAAATACCATTTCGTTACTTGGGAATAATAATTCAGTCTGTACTAATATGTCAACACGTAATTTTTTTGCATAATTTCATTTTACTTGTTTAAACATGGTTGCAATGGTGCCTCAAAAAGCCAGAAACATTAATTATCTGGGACAAGGGTAGTGTGAGTGAGAGCACCGTTCAGAGATGGTTTAAACAATTTCGAAAGGGAGAGGCTTGAAAACGAAGGTCGTTGAAGGATTTCTTCCTTAGATGATGATGTTCTGTGAGCTTTGATTGAAGAAAATCCCTGACAACCCTTTGAGAACTTGTAGAGAATCATTCCGTTATCAAATCAACTGTCGCTGACCACCTTATGGCAATTAGTCTAAAGAATATAAAATAGTAAAAAATAAAGTAATCTGTCTTACAGGAGGGCTTAACTTCTAACTACATTTTGGGTATTGCGGACAAGGGTTCAAACTAATTTACAAAACCTTTTACCTATTATTACCAATTAAAATTGCTTGAGCTGTGCCACGATTCAAACCCTTAACTGCTAGACAAGCCAGACACCCTAACCACTCTGCCACGTGATACCTGACTAATAGAAAATAATGAAAATTTAAAAACCTATTTTCAAAAGTTTGTATCGGTTTCTTCATTCCTATTTGTCTTTTTTGTTTTTGATGTTTACATTTTATTCCATTCCTAATACAAAATGAAGTTAGCTATTTTAACTATTTTAATAGCCGCTTTAATTTAATTACATCTCGGCTGATGAATTTTCCAAACTGTGTATGCTTTTGTATTGCATTTTTTTAATAATACATAATTATACATTTATTATTAAATAAAGCATCTTATTAATGGTTTAAATAAATAATTTGATAAATATAATATTAAAAAAAACTGACAATTTTTCCATTTCTGTCCAAGTTTATATTCCTTTTTGTAGAACATGCCTATGAAGTTTGGTAAAGTTTACAATGAAATAAATTTAATTTTTAGGAACTAGTTGAAGACTTCATTTTCCCAGCTTCGAAGATGATGCTGCACTTGAAAAAGACAGGAGAACTGATACAAGATCAGGCCGTGCCAGTGTGCAACACGCCTATTACACTGAGCTCTGCCTTCGAGCTCCTTGTCGCCTTATGTGATAACTGTGTGCCGAACATGAAAGTCCTTGTAACAATGCTCACCGATATGTTTTACAGTGGTAAGCATAAGATATTTTTTTTTTTTTTTAACTTCTATTTAAAATGACTTAACTTTTAGATAGCGATGATGGACTTCAAGAATGGGACTACCTTCCTCCGATCGGACCAAGACCTATTTCTGGGTTTGTTGGCCTAAAGAACGCTGGTGCCACTTGTTATATGAATTCGGTCCTTCAACAGCTCTACATGGTCTCAAGCATTCGTCAGGGGCTTTTGGCCGCCGAAGGGGCAACATTTGACATAGAAGATTTTTATAATAACTACACTGAGGTGGGTATTATTTATTAATTTACAAAAAGATCCCTCTTTTTCCTAAATCCTCACTAAATGGGTTTTTCTCTGTATAGAGCATAATCAACATCAGCAGTGAACACGAAGAGAAAGCGTCATTGGAAGAGTCTCGAAAAGAGTACAATATTGGAATATTAAAACAGGTCCAGGCGATATTTGGTCACTTAGCATATAGCAAACTTCAATACTACATCCCCAAAGGCTTATGGAAACATTTTAAGTATGGCTTTCATAATGAAACAAACAAGAATTTTTTTTAAACGATTGTACGTTTTGTTTTTAAATTTAGATTACAAGGCGAACCGGTTAATCTAAGAGAACAGCAAGACGCTGTTGAATTTTTTATGAGTTTAGTAGAAAGCATAGATGATGCCCTTAAAGCTTTGGGACAGGAACAGATAATGAGTAAAATTTTAGGTGGATCATATTCAGACCAAAAAATTTGCAAAGGTTGTCCTCATAGGTAATTAAGTTTCATATTTTCAACCTTTATAGTTTTGAAGTAGCTTTAAAATACATTGCAACTGTGTTTGATTGAAGGTACTCAAAAGAAGAGCCCTTTAGTGTTATTAGTGTCGATATAAGGAATCAGTCTACTCTTCAAGATTCTTTAGAACAGTACGTCAAAGGAGAATTATTGGAAGGGGCGGATGCCTATCACTGTGATAAATGCAACAAAAAGGTAATCTTTGCCTTTTCCAAAATATAGGAAATTTTTTAAGAGAGTCGAATTTGCTTAAGAATGTTAAAAAATAAATTAAAAGATTTTTCAATTTTAATCTTTATTTTTTAATTGTCTAGGTTGTCACTGTCAAAAGGTTATGTGTTAAAAAACTTCCTCCCATTCTGACAATCCAGTTGAAAAGATTCGAATATGATTATGAACGTGTATGTGCCATAAAATTTAACGATTACTTTGAATTTCCGAGAGTATTGGATATGGAACCGTACACCGGTAGGTTTAAATTAAATCAAGTCAAATTTCAGGGTAGAGATTTAAAAAAAAAAATTTTTTTAATCCTTAGTTTCTGGACTTGCAAAAATCGAGGGTGAAGTCGACTGTGATTACAATGAATGCCCCAAAGATGTAAGTACAAAATACCACCTCAGCGGTATCGTGGTGCACAGCGGGCAAGCCAGTGGTGGCCACTACTATTCGTATATACTCCACAAGCTGAAGGACGGTACGTCCAAGTGGTACAAATTCGACGACGGTGAAGTGACAGAGTGCAAAATGGAGGACGACGAAGAGATGAAATCTCAGTGTTTTGGCGGTGAATACATGGGAGAAGTGAGTTTTGAAATAAATCGATGTACTTTTTCAAATTGATACGTTGCCGTTATGTCGTAGGTGTTTGATCACATGCTCAAGCGGATGACGTACAGGAGGCAAAAACGATGGTGGAACGCTTATATGTTGTATTATACTAGGCAGGATGGTGATGAGGAAACTCTAGTCAAATCTATTAATCAACTCTCTCTCTGTGCGTGTAATTTTATTTTTAATAAATAAATTATGAGATATTAAATTTTTTAAATATAAATTGTAATCTTTTCTCTTTAGGTGATAGTAAACATGGCTTAATGAAAATGCCTGTAGCAATAGAACGAAGTGTACGCCGCCAAAATATAAGTTTTATGCATACCCGAAATCAGTTTAGCGCTGAGTACTTTCAATTTATGAGAAGACTAGCAACTTGTACATTGCCTAATGCAGCTCGACAACACACAGTAGATAAACCAGTGAGTTGTCTTATTGATGATTTCTCACCCTTTCGCCGAAATATATTTTTAATTACTATTTTGAAGAATGAACTTCAGACGCCTGAAGCCGAGGAGCTGTCACTTCTTAGCATTCAGATTGTAAGCAGGTTCCTCTTCCACACCGGGTTTCACACGAAGAAGTGCCTGAGGGGCCAGGCCTCCGACTGGTACGACGCTCTCTACCACCATTTAAAATCTTACGCTTCCGTCAGGTCTTGGTTCACGCATAACATTCTGTTCAAACATCCTAACCGGTAAGGCTTCGTTTTTCTTTAAAATCTCATTCTCTCCAGCACAGCTAACGAATCTCGTGTTTTAGGTTTTGCGAATACCTATTGAGTTGCCCGAGCACAGAAGTCAGGACCGTTTTCATGAGAATAATTGTTTTTTTAGCCCATTTTTCGCTGCACGATGGGCCCTGTCTGCCGCCTATGGTCAACTCCCCAAGTAAGTTCTATTTCATTATCATTTTTATTTGTAATTTATCAGTTTCCTGTTCAGTTTTAGCAAAAGGAAAACAGTTTTCTTATAATTTACACTTATAGGCGAGCCTTGAACTAATAAACTAATATTTTATGTTCAAAACTTGAAGTTTTTACCTCTGTTTAACGCATTGATTACAGTCAGTACTCTTCGTTCCTCAAGTGAATGACGCCCCAAGTGGAGCAGTGTGCTATTTAAGTTATTTTTTGAGCTAGTGAGAGTGGGAAATTTAGAAAACAACACCATTTTTAACATTTTTAAAAAACACACTGCTTCTTTGAACGCCGGTCTAAAAGTGAATAGATATCACGCTCACGGTACTTGAGTAGAGGCAAACTCTCAATACTCACTGGACAAAGCAAGAGTATGATATCACGTTCACTGTCCTGAAAGAGTTAAGTTATTCAGTAGTGATTACAAAATTTTTGCTACAAATTAGTAATATTCCGAGGTCATAAGCAATAAACACCTATTTTACAGTGCCATTGTCATATCAATTTTACAGACCAACCAAAATTTATTAATGTAAAAAATTCAAGGATAATTAAGTAAACAAATAGGTTTTACTGAAAATTTGGATGAAGGTAAAGGCTGGTTTTATTACTTTTTAAATTAAGGGATTTAAATAAAGGAGGTGAAATGATCTATCATGCTTATGGAAATTGGACATTTTGCTTAAGAAGATAACTTTTTAATTATTGTAGGCAGGAACAAAGCAGGTCTGACAACTTTCCACATATATTATATTTTATTCATGCTAGTATCATTAAGTACAATTTTTTTATTTTTTAACCGAGTGATTTAGATATTAAAAAATATTTGATTTGGTACCTGTTGTATTTATAAATATCGACCAGTTTTACTTATGAATTGTTGAGCATTTTCTTCATTTATTAGTTCTATAAAATAATTTTTAGTTTCAGAGGTACCATACGATATTCATGTTTTTGAACTGGACTATTTACGGGATATCATCAAGGCTTTTTGTATAGATATGTCGTCTTGACCAAGAAGTATAGTAAGTTAATCAAGTTGAACGTTATAATTTACGAAAGCGAACTTTGGCAAAAGTAGTGAGAGACAATAGTCCAATTAGTGAACTGTTTAATTCCTGCTGAATTCCAATTAGGACAGTTGTAGTGTGCGAACAAAATCTGCTATTATACTTCTCAGAGAAATGACAAAAATGAAGAGGCCGTCTATATTTCCCAAGATCACTTGCCCCCTCGTGCTTTGGACTACCAAACGGCTTCTCTTTTCCAGTGATCCTGTACAACCAGAAAGCGACGATCAGTGACCACCTGTTAGCAGCGATTTTGTCCTTGCTACACAAAGAGGTTTCAGAACATGGCCGACACCTACTTCATTACTTCACACTTTTCCATATGTATGCGTCCTTGGGGATGCACGAGAAAAATCAGCTCCTTCAGGTTCGATCGAAATCATCAACAATTTTATTTCTATATTATATACCATATTTTGTTATTTTTTTCTTTCAATAGTTAAACGTACCTGCAACATTTATGCTGGTGGCCTTGGACGAAGGGCCAGGACCAGCAATTAGATACCAATATCCTGAATTGACTAAATTACATTGTGTCGTCTCACAGCTTATCAGATGCTGTGATGTAACTTCTAAACAAAAATCATGCGTACAGGTATTTTTTTTTTTTTTTTTTTTAAATAAGACATCTTCATTTTTTTATTCATTGATTTTTATATTTTGTGTAATTTAAGGGAGAGCCACCGCTTCCTAATCCCTACGGCGAAGAGGAGTGTCTTAGAGATATTCAGCCTCAAGTTGAAGAAATTCTGTACGGTAGGACAAGGTATGTCAACCAGAACTCTTTCAAATCATACACTGTGAAACTTCCCTTAATGGACAACTCCCTAACAGATGCATGCTGATTCTCCGATGTCTTTCTTTAGTTTCTACACATTAAAATCTTGTATAAATTGGACACTATAATGAATTCGTACAGCTTTTTCAACTATAAGCCACTCAAAAACTACCAAAAGCGAACGGCTCCCTCCAGTTCTGAGAATTATCCAAAGTCTTCTAATATTTTCCAATATTCCTAGATTTTGATTATGCCACTTTGCAAACATATTTTAAGTATTTCTTGTGCATTTGACACCTAAAGAAAAAAGTAATATAATTAAAATGAGTGAAAGTGAAAAACTAAGATTGCTACACTTAAAGATACTGCTGCATAGTTTTCCATCCAAAAGGGCCTGGCAAATGAAATTCTAAAGAATAAAAAGGAACTTCCAGATATATTTTAGCTCCCAATAATGGACACAGGCAGCTTTTTCTTTGACTATGCTCTGAATAAAACTCTCCAAAATTGGTCTGCAACTTCTTGTCATGGTTAGGAAATGAATATTGAGAAATGCCTTTGGTGATCTGATCAGCCTTCTCAGTTTAAATATATTTTTCTTTCCAAAAGGTAGATTGGGGAAGATTGGCCTCATCCCCAATCTACCTTTTGGAAAGAAAAATATATTGAGAAATGCCATTTTCCTTGTGTGTTTTGTTCTTCCGATATTCCTACATTTTGATTATACACTTTGCAAACATAAGGCTAGTAACAGTGGATTTGAGTTCAGATGGATAGACTTTGTCAGAACTGTTACAATCGAAATTGTCAGAATGAAGTGGTGTAAAAAAAAAAAAAAAAATTAATCAGTCGGAATACTAATGCCCCAATTCTACTTTTTATGCAGTTCCATGCATTGAAATCCTCGTTCCGATTTTTATGATTCATAACACAAGTTTCCCAAATTGTTCTGTTTCGAAAACATCGAGGAACTGCAAAACTGTTGCGTTGGGCCAATCCAGTTCTAATTTAGAAAAAAAAAAAAAAACCAGACTGTAAATTAATACATCTATACTAGTTAGGAATCGTTTAATGAAAAATAAATGGTATTAAATAGAAGTATACACTTACTGTTGATTTTGATAACAGTTGACAGTTGGTTAAAGGTATATACAGTTACAGTTGATTCCCGAATGTGTGGATGGTTTGAGTGTGATTACTACATTTTAAGCGACAATAATTTGAAGTGGACAAGAAAACCGACAATAAGCCAAGCAAGGTGAGCACCGAATATTGTTGCTCGGCGAATAACCAACCATCCATCCCTATCAGTCGGGATTCGGCGAAACTACTTGGCATTTGGCGAATCCTGCATATCTGGAGCCACCTAGAGAAAGGGCTTTAGAAGTTGCAAAACATTTAGGGCCGATGTATTTTAAAGCATGTTCAGGTGAAAAATTTAGAACACATCGTACGATTTCTCTTCTTCTTTAAGTCCATTAGTGTAATGAAGTTGTACAAAATTAGATGGAAAAACTTAAACAATATTGGCAGATTTTGAACCCAAAGGCCCTGTTCCCACTATGCCGGACTGGTGGTTTTGCTGGAAACCAGCACCCGGACATAGGTGTTCACATTAGACCGGATTTGGCAAGAAAACCGGAAACTCAATCCTCAGTTGAGGTCAGACCTCAGTGCACTATGGACGATGAAATTGCTGTGTTTTGGTGGTATTTTAGATGACATAGAGTAAAAAGAAAATATTGGACACATCCTATTTTACAGGAAAGATTTTTACTAGGAGCATTTGAAACAATGAGCAAACTGAGAAACGACGAGACAAAGTTCTTCAGTTATTTTTGAATGACAGCATCCTCTTTTGATTATTGTTTCTATTTGTCTAGGGTTTTATCCCACAGTACAGGTCTCTCTTATACAAGCGAAATTAAAGTTTCTGCTTTTGATTCCATAATATGTGCGTGCATGTGTCTGACCTACAGAATGCGAACGCCGAAATGACCCTACGTGTTTGGGTTTCTATACCCCTTCCAAACATGCTGGGGCTACCTTTTGAATAGGCTACAAGCAGGGCAGAGTTACGCCAGTCCGGGCATTTTTCCGGCGCTCCACAGTGACAAAACGCCCGACGAAAATGCCAGGTTCGGTATTTTTGCTGGATCTGGGTATAACTTGTGAAGGAACTTCATATAAAATGTACAGCCACTGGCCCTTCCAGCAGTTTTACAGGCCCGACAAAACCACCAGTGGGACCAAAAACATTTTTAATTGCGAAGAGATGGTCTTATTTTAGAATCTGGCTAAACTATGCAATTAAAAAATGAGCTTTGTCAGAGTGGAAAGGTTTCAAACGAGCGTTCAACTTAGCATTTATGCAAAAGTGTGCTCGGTGAATTTGAAAAACCCTCTGATCATAGGAGAGGCTAAAAATCCCTATTGTTTCAAGGATTTTGATATTTTCTAATAGTGTCCATTCCATAGTGGCCCATTTTGTAATACTAAAACATTTTATTCACCATTATTCCAAAAGCGGACACCTCTGTATGTGAAATTCCAATCATTCCCCAAGAGTGTCTGTTATACGGAAGTTTCACTGTATTAATTCTGTTCGATCAATTTAATTGATATGCATTATAAAAAGTTATTAAATTAATGTTAGATACCTCATACTTACCTTCGTTAATCTTGGTTTATCTGTTATCTAGAAATTTCTGCAAATATAAAAGTTATGAGATTACTGTTAAAATGGTGTAAAACAAAATAGTTCAAATATTTCTATTTGCTTTTTTTTCTAGCTATGTTAAAAAAATTATCGAGGATTGCCAGGCCACAGAAGAGGGGGCGAAGATGCTTCAATACTGTTGCTGGGAGAATGCTCACTTTTCACGGGTCGTACTGAGTGAGTTGCTGTGGCAGATAGCGTTTGCGTATTGCCACGAGTTAAGACATCACATCGATTTGCTTCTGGCCGTCGTCAAAATGGAAGACTCGTGGCAGATGCACAGGCTCCATAATGCGCTCAACGGGATCCCTGACGAGCGCGAGGGGCTTTTTGACACAATCCAAAGATCAAAGAACCATTATCAAAAAAGAGCATATCAATGTATAAAATGTTTAGTTACGTTGTTCTCCGAATGTCGGCCAGCATTGAACCTCCTTCACTCAAACTCAGAAATGAAACAAAAATGGGCACTTGCGATTGAGTGGCTTCAGGATGAACTTGAAAGGGTAAAGCAAATGTTAAATTATTATTTATTAAAAAAAAAAAAACTTTTTGAAATTTTTTTTTTTTTTTTTCAATTTCAACAGAGGCCCTATGGGACAAACAATCCATACAGTTTTAATAGTTGGTCACCTCCTGCCCAATCAAATGAATCAGCAAACGGTTTCTATTTAGAAAGATCGAACAGTGCTCGAAAAACTCTATCAAGGGCTTGTGAACTATGCCCTGATGATGTAAGTTAAATAATCGACTTAATGAGAAACATTCGCTTAAATTTGAATTTCCCATTAGGATCCTGAATTAGATGAACCTTGTGATGATAATGAACCATGTCAGTCTGAAGAACCGATGGTGGTCGAATCCCTTGAATTCAATCAGGCAAGAAGGTAATTGCTAAATTCTTATTTAAAAAAGAAAAAAGTTACAAAAATGAAATCACTGTTATTTCAGCATTCATTCAATTATGCCGCAACAAAGGTCTTTTGCTGAGTGTTTGCCATCTACGACAGTAGCCACAACTACAACAGCATCAACAACAGTTGTAGTCAGTACGATCAACACCACAACGACTTCTTGGATTAAACTAATTGAAGACCCTTTCCAATCATAAATCAACAAATAAGGTAAAATTTAGTGTCTTATTTAATAAGACTGTACAGATAGACGGTGAAGGGGAGGTCAACCAATTCTTCGATTCTTTTTCCTAATCCATATTCCATATTTCCTTTACATCTTGCGAAATAATGGATCTTAACGTGATTGGTCACATTTTATTCACGACTTTCTTGTAGATAATTTGATATAAGTTATAATGCATATAGTTATTTTAAAAGATGTTCAGTGTTAATAAACTGTCTGAAAATATATTTAAAAAATTGCCTGAATTGATATACCTTTTTCTCTAGAATGGTTTTTTCTCAGATTCTGTTCAACATTATTATTTTTTACTGATTTATTTATTTTTATTAACAGTTCTTCAATACAAAGAATGTGTTAAGGCATTTTTTAAAATTTTGTCTTCCTAATTTTTCTACATGACATTGACCATATTGTAAAAATCTGCCTCTAATTATCGTGATTTAAGAATTTTTTATGAGTGAGCCTGAATTTTATTTTTACAAAAGTGTTCAGCAAAAGCTTTAGTTAAAAAATCAAAATATTGAACAGAAACCGAGTAAAAGGACCACGAAGATCAACAATCATGATTTATCAAGAGGTTCTTTTTTAGTGTACATTCGATTTTCACCTTTTTGAGCGCTATTCTGATCTGAGTAGACCTTTTAATTTTTAAATTGAGCACTTCTAATACTTAGGTAACAAATCTTTTCCACCAAATGGTACAGGAAAAGTCAAAAGTTTTTGTCCACATTGTTTTTTTAGCATTTGGTGCTCAAACTTGCAAATATTTTACACAAAACGATACACAAAAAAACTATTATTTAAAAAAGGTAAAAACAATCAAAAATCCCAAAAATTCATTTTGAGCACTTCTGACACTCAAATAGTAAATCTTTTACACCAAATGATACAGGAAAAATCTAGTTTAATAAAAGTGTGTGGTGTTTAGTCACCGTTAGTTAATGATTGGAGATGGTGAGTTGCGGTCTGGTGGGACATAGGTTTAGAAAAACAGAGATCATCTTCAGGGCCTGGGATTTATGAACATTGTTGTTTGAAGATGATCTCAATAAATAGATCGAAGTGTTGGCACGATAAAGAAAAGTTTTTCTAAACTTACATCACACAAGATCTCGTCTCACAATCTCCAAATAATGGGTACAAAACAATGACACATCTGCATCGAAAACAGACTTAAAGTGAGTACAAATACTTTGATTGAACCTAAAATTTCTATATTGTGCATATTGTATAAATTCATATTCATAATTTATAAATATTTATATAATTTAAGCAATGTTTATAAATCCCAGGCCCTGAAGATTTTTCTAAAACCTACGTCACACCAGACCTCATATCACGATCTCCAAATAATCTTTAATAAAAATGTTGTTTATTTTTAATAAAAAACAATTTTGGTCTACATTGCTTTTTAGCACTTCTGGTGCTCTAATTTTCAAATACTTTACACAAACCAATGCACAAAAACTAGTTTTTTTAATTTTTATTTTAAGTAGAAAAACAATCAAAATTTTCAAAAATTTATTTTGAACACTTTTGATACTCAAATAGCAAATCTTTTACACCAAATGGAATGGGAAACGCCTAGGTTAATAATTTTTTTTATCTTTTACACCAAATGGAATGGGAAAAGTCTAGGTAATTTTTGTTTTTAATTATTATTAGGTTTTTTTTTTTATAATAAAAAAACAATTTTGGTGGTCTACATTGTTTTTTTAGCACTTCTGGTGCTGAAAATTGCAAATTCTTTACACCAGAGTTTCCCAAACTTTTTAGCTAGCCTCTTTCACAGACCCTTTCATTCAATTATTTAAATTAGATACTTACAGTATGTAGTAAAGTTTTTAAATTAGCCAATCCTAATTAGGTGATCGAGGGGATATCACAATAAAAGTAAACAGATTGACATATTTAAATTGATTTACAAAATCCAGAACACAAAAATCAAATTGGACAGAACGGAATCAATAGGTAATGAATTAATGGGAAGAGTGAGGTTGTTTTGCATGCACAATTTGGATGGATATGTTGGGGTTTAATTTTTTATAGCTGGAGATGAATGTCGGGTTCAGCATCTAGACAACTTCGGTATTTAGTTTTGTGGCTGTATACACAGAAGATCCGGATTAGCTATGTGTGTTGTGGCAAATGGAAGAACACGTTTCGCTTTTTCAACGAACAGTTGAAATTTTTGGTATTCCTGACAGAGGCACAAATGGGTGAGGTTAAGTTAGCTGACTCGAAAGTAGATTTTAAGGTGGAGTCTGAAGTAACATCTATCAAACATTCGTATTCACTCGAAGATACTTGTTAGCTTTGTCGAAACGGAAAATGGTTTGACTAACCATTTATGGTGTTACAGCATTGTAATTCGAGCTGTTGGGAAGTAGTGCAAAAAGGACATCTCCAAACTTCGAAGGTGTTCACATATTTCATTAATGCACGTGCCGTTCACAATCTCCATTTCTTTAAAAAAAAATATTTAAAAACGGGAAAACACTCCACCTCTTCCTTCTCTACAGATTCAACCCAGAGCCGGATTTTTCTTTTAAAGGTGCGAACTTTTTCATTAGCATCGAAATTTGTGATACTCTTCCCTTGCAAAGAAAGACTCATATCATTTTCATGATATATATGATATATAATTAATAATTGGGGGCAGTGGTGGCTTCAACGGTTTAGGCATTGACACAGTGCTCATCACTGCAGTGCCGCAATTCGAACCCAACATACTTACAAATGGGTTTTTTTCAGTATCAACCCTGAGAGGTATGCCTCTGCTGTTGGGAACCCTGAAAAAAAGAAAAAAATTGTTGTTTCATAACTAAAGCATGTATGTGGCAATGTTCTGGCCAGTCATTACTTTTGGACATATTAATGCATTTATGCCATGGAATTTCGTTAGTTGTAAAAAGATTGTCCGACAAATAGAATATTTCAGCACTTGTTATATTGGCAGGAAGGGGTTTGCACAGAAGATCCTCCTCGAAACATCCCGGGTATTCATAAAGGACAAAAGCCAATAAAAAAATCAACCCCACGACAGTATCGTTTGATAATGGCGTGGAACCTATAAGTTTTACTGCTTTTTCATCAAGCATGCAAAATACAAAATCATTAACAAATGGTTTTATGAGGGTTTCAGCAATGGTATGAGCTTTATCTGCCTGTGCGACTCAATAACTTATCAAGTAAAGACGGTTTTAGTGAGTTTTCATTAACAGTTTTTGCATGGTTTTAATAAAGGTTTGTGAAGCAGCCAGTTCAGTGTCTTCAAGAAAAATCCCCAAAAAAATTTCTGGGGTGTTTACCCTCTTAATGACAATGCAATTTAACTGGAACTATTGAACTGCTTGTAAGGACTTTCACACTAATCACACCCCAAGGGGTCCATGGATCACAGTTTGGGAAGTCCCACTTTACACAAAACGATGCACAAAAAATATAGTTGATTAAAAAAGTAAAAAAAAATCAAAATTTTCAAAAATTCATTTTGAGCACTTCTGGTGTTCCAAATTGCAAATCTTTTAAACCAGATAGTGCAGTAAAAAATCTAGTTTAATAGAAATTTGAAAAAATATATATATGTCTCGATTCAACAAGATGGGCCCAACTCTGAATCCTTTTTATGAAAAACAGAGCCCCAGAGGTCTTGATCGAACCTGAATACAGCCGATCAGGTCCCTTTTTATAATAAAATTTAATTAAAGTTTGAAAACAATTTATTAATCACACAAGAAAATAACAATTAAAATCAATAAATTTCCTTTTTAAATTTTAAACAAACAATTAAAACGTTTTAAATTTAAATAAACAGTAATTTCCCGCAAACCACTTGCCAGGCCATTTAGAACAAGGGTGGATAAGAACTCACTATTTACAGTCAATCCGCAGTGGACCGAAGCACTATTTCAGGGAATACAACACTTTTGAGGATTTGTTGTGGCGATACGTGAAACTTAAATAACGACTTACACAAAGATCTAAAGTTTATCTTTTCTTTGTGCGGCATTATATAGTAAGGAGCTTACAGATCTGTGGCTATTTTCAGCTAAAACAAAGAGAATCTCCGAAGTTAACGATTTATAATGAGTCAAAAGAGGATACAATGCACACAAGAAATTAAAAATAGATTCAGGATCATTTAATATTAATGGCAGTAATTTATTTATCCTGTTTAAGAGGGAATGATGTAGCTTGGATGCCCTGATAAATTTTTCCTCCAATTTTCTAACTTGTCGCGGGTTTTCTTCCTCGGATTCCGAACTTACAAATTTAGGAATGAATTGGTCATCGGGATTAGAATTTGAGTCGGTTGGCTTAGCGCAGGCTTCGACACCATTGGTGGAGGGAAAGGTATATTGTTGAATTTATCAGTGATTGGCGCGACAGTCTTTTTGCATTCTAAGCCTTTTAGAGTTTTAAATTCTACGGTTTGCGGCGGCGAGGCTTCGCAAAAAATTTCTCGATTTGTAATAAATTTCTTTTTTTATTCTAAAGCTTTTAAAATTCGGGATGATATTGATGTGACAAAGGTTTGCTTCTGTTTTTTTAGGAATTCTTTGCTGGATTTGCAGGCTATCATTTAAGAATTCTGAAATTTCCTTTTCTATTATTTCAATGTATTCATTCGAATGGAAAGTTAAATTCCCTATTTTATCCAAAACATCAGGTTCTTCCCTAACTTCATTTCGATTACTTTCTTCTGAGACACACATTTTAACTAGTTAAAAGTTAGTTTAATTAATTTAATCAATCATGCTCTGCTACCAATTTTGTCTCGATCTGTTCTATATATACATAAAATAAACCATACTATGTTTTAGTGGGTCCTAGTTGGTCATATTTAAATTGATTTATAATTTTTATGTAAAGTTGGTCGAGATGAAAAAATAATAAAATAAAATGTTGGCCAAAAAGTTGTTTCAAACACTTCCAGAGCTGAAAATTGCCAATTCTTTAAGCCATTAATTTAAAAAAATTAATACCTAACAATTAATTAAGGTTTTTAGTTGAGATGAAAAAAAGTTAATGGCACGAGCGGGATTCCAACCCATGATCTTCGGCTAGATACGCTGCTGCTTTACCACTAGAGCTATCGTGACCTCGATCCACTCGGACATTAACTTCCTATCTCAACCCCACCCCCACCTCGAAGTTGATGTCCGAGTGGATCGAGGTTACGATAGCTCTAGTGGTAGAGCAGCGGCGTATCTAGCCGAAGATCGTGGGTTCGAATCTCGCTCGTGCCATTAACTTTTTTTCATCTCAACTAAAAACCTTAATTAATTGTAATGATTTAATTGGTCAAGCGGACCACAAAATTAGTGAATTTAATTAATACCTAAAATAATCGGTTGACCCCACCCCACCCCCTTAAGTTGTAATAAATCTGTCGTATTATTTCTTTTATGGAAAGTTGATTATTCAATTTGGTCTGTGCAGGTTAACTTATGCTTCAGAATATTGACTGGGGAGATATCGACTGTTAGATTGAGCATGACACGACGTCGATTCCAGTGCGATAACCGGACCACCAACCACCACCACCAGTCTCTCAGGACCTGTGACGTTTTCGGTGCTTGTATAAAATTTGTATCACAGGTTGTCTTTATTAGACACTAAAATGCCACATATTTGTGTATATTGAATGTTGTTTTCCTAACATTAGTTAATAAGGGTGCATTTTTAAAAAGGCTACTGAATTGTAATGTATATATATATAAACAAACATCAGAAAAAAAGAAGAAAAAAAAAGAAAGAAAAAAATTATTGTCGCCTGTGTTTATACCTAATTGACTTTTAGTTTTATTTATTGTATTTCCTTATACCAAAATGGTATATTTTGTATACTTATGTGAAGTATGAAAAGTTATAGGACCTGTGATATATATAAATATATATAAAACTCAGCTGAGCTTTGGACTAAATAAATATTAAGCTTCATCTTGTCACTCGTGACAGCAGTTCGTGGAACTGGGAAATCTATAAAGAAATCTCTTGCAAATTAAATGATAAAGTTATGTATTTCTGCACTGTTGAAATTGTTAATATGTATTATGTTTGCAAATGTTACTATTTATTGCAATTTGCTTACTATAAGTCAATTTGTATTTTATTTGCAAATGTGACTGATATCGCCACTAAATTTCAAATTAGTTTTTTAATTGATAAATAAAATAAACCATAAAAAAATGAAATTTTAAAAGAAATTGTAAAGTTGTTTGCCTACCATGTGAATGAATATAAATACAAGAAATATATATACATAAATATATATTTGGGATTATAACAGTTTTGGTTTTTAATTTTTTAGTACCTCAACAATTGTTGATAATTACCATCAGTTCAATGTGTCCAGACTACAATCGAATAAATTATAATAAAGAAGGCCTTATTGTCCTTTTTATTTATTTTTAATTAATAAAGGACAGCTACCTGCATAAGATTTCCAGTCCCTTTTTCCTCTCACACGGTGAAAAAAAGTAGGGATCTATTATTAACATGTTAACTGTGCAATGGTACTCTCTCAGATCACACCACACAGTGAAATTTTCATGTATAGTTGGCCTCCCAATTTCAAAAGTTTTTACTAAACTATTCAAGCAATTTAGCATGTAGCACTCCCAAATGAATCTTTGCCTATATTCCAGTGATACCTGGTATCACTTGAACGAGTTTTGGTTGGAATCATGTTAGTCTCAGAACCACTTTTTCAACTCTTGTTTCAGACACTCGTCCAGAACAACCCTGTACATGTCTGCTTATGAGATTTCCTTGAGGGCGTATTTTTTTGTTATTTTAAGCTAATTTTTCTCAGTTCAGGTCTTTTTTTAAGTTTGTATAGCTGGGTTTCCATTTTGCAAAAAAATTACTCGTGCAACTAAACGTGAGAATCATTTGTGAAATCGCGGTTTAACCATTTTTATGAGGTAAGCCATCAGTTTGCAAGAGACAAGCATGCTGTTTATAATTACACCGACTGCTGCAACAGTGCTTTCATGGCGATAGTTTTTGTCCGTGTCCCATTTTGATGCTCATTTTCTTCCGTGCATCCTCTATCTTGTTCTTTTAATGAGTTTTATATTTAGCATCCCACAAAAATCAGTATCTGTGATGTATTCGGATAAATCTAATGCAGTCCTTCGGTTCATTCTCAAACTTGAGACAAGTGTATTTACACAGAGAGAAACAAACAACTTGAAACACTTAGTTGCTTACTATAAAACTGATAGCTAGTCAGCTCACCCCAAAACATCCTCGCACCAAAAGTTTTGCAGTCCTGGCTAGGTTAAATAAAATTTTTCCTTAATATCAACTAGTAATATGCATTTAACAACTGTATAAGGTTTTCTATAAGATTTATATATTCTATTCCTAATTATTAAATATACTATTGGGTAAATAATGCTCATTTTCATGTTTTCTTTCAATTATCCCTCTTTACAATAAAATGTTTATGTTTGATGGATTATTCTTTTGCACGAATGTCAACACTTTAATGTACTTATTACGTGTTTGAATACAGATTTGTATATTGTAAAAATAATTATTCCGAAATCGTGAGGTGCAGTCTGGTGTGATGTAGGTATCAGAAAAACATTTTCTTTATCGTGCCAACGTTTCGATCTTTATTGAGATCATCTTCGGGGCCAGAGATTTACAAACATTGTTTACATTTAACAAGTACATGTATATGTTAAATTTAAACAATGTTTGTAAATCCCAGGTCCTGAAGATGATCTAGATAAAGATCAAAACGTTGGCACGACAAAGAAAATGTTTTTCTGAAACCTACATCACACCAGACCGCATCTCACGATTTCTGAATAATTATCGATTAATGGTCACTAATCACCATACATTGTAAAAATAGTTTTCCAGATTTTCATTGATTGGAAATTACCGATTACTGATTGATATAAGCTCAAACGTACACGCATGCACTTAATTATACACATGTGTACAGAATTGAGCCTATCACTTCTCGTAGTCCATCAGCAATTCTGTCTTTTGTAATTTACAATAAATTATCGTCAGGCATCGAGAATCATGCACCTCAAGTGTTGGCGATCCGAGGTCAGACCTCTATCTTATTCGACCAGCTGCTGAGGTTGGGCTCCACAGGCTAATCATTAGCTAGATCATTTCAGTACCCAACCCAATGTGTCTACAAATCCAGACCCATTCACAATTTCACTCATAATTAAATACATTCTTTCTTATTTATTATTCAATCAGTTAAGGTAGTGGAGTACTCAATATTCCTCCATCGCCCTTCACATCTATTTTATAATTAACCTGATTACCATGGAACTCCATATTACATCGCACTGCACATTCATGCTAATAAATACATTTACTAACAACACACTATGTACACAAAACTATCTATCAGTGCTATACATAAAACAACCCTGCTTTCTTTAAAAATTGAAGGGGAGCCAGATACTAGCTGCCTTGCTCAAGCATGATTCTTACATCGGGTGGCAATCCTACACGCTTTCTATATAGAACCCAAAATTGCACCCTTAGATTAGGTGGGACACATCGAGCAACCTTTGTCTGCATGCCCAAAAGTGGCTATGTGTCAACATTCTCAATCAGGTGAGGATGACCCTTCTTTGTCAGGCCACTTAACAACAATGATCTTGAGATGGATGAGTTTCTCTGCCGATCCAGCCACTTTCTTTAATCATGTTTTTATTTGAATTTTTAGCATCAGGAGGGGGATTCCAGTAGTTAAGTACAGAGGTTGGAACATCCGGCTTCTTTTTTGTAACCCTCCACACTTTGGTCCAGGTACTCAGAACAAGGTTTGTCTTAGACACTACGAGTATTTCTCCAAAAGAACACAATTAGATGGTCGGCAGAGAATCTGTCAAGGACAGCAGTGACCATGCTGAGAATTGGTGCAGACTAGGCAGAGCCATTGTCCCCAATCACTTCAATCGCGTGTCAAATTGCATATAATTCTGCCTTGTAAACTTCTACAATGCTATAGTGCAGAGGCGACCATAAAGTGATGCACCCTCACAATATTCGGTGTGTGCCATACCTATGCCGGTGAAAGGATGAGTGAAAACCGGTGTACTTTGATCTGTTCCAGAACTTAACTCGGGAAAGGTACAGCAGAGTAGACGACAGTAAGATCATGCTGGACGAATATACACAATTCATTTTGATTTTGTGGCAACAATTGGTCAATAGGAAATAGGAATACGAAGAATTCGTAAACTGCTGATAAATCACTTTATTCGTAAATTCAATAAAAAAAAGTTTGTTTTTAAACATGTTTGGCTTATCTGATAAGCCAAAATTCAGTTCGAATTACATATGTACAAATCATTGTTGTTTCACAAAATGAATGGAAATTCTATTGTTTATGAGTGTAAAGAAATGTTAGCGATAGCCTTTGAAGCCTGCTTGTATTATTCTTAGGTCAACACAACTTTTTCGTTTTAAAATTTTATTTAATTATAAACAGACATAACATGTTACAAAACAAAGAAAAGATTTATCGATTTTAAGCTTTATTTGTCTTACAATTTACAACTATGTACTAAATGGTCTCTGTGCATCTAATTGTATGGTTTATCGAGTTAAAATATGAATATTAATTAATTTCCATTTTTTGTTGTATTACAAATCAATTTAAAAAAATAATATTTCAAACCTATAAAGGTGCAGGGAAAAAATACATTTTTGTTTGCTATTTAACCTTTTTTACACATATTTTGAGGCACATTTTTGAATAATATGGACTCAAAAAATTAACTGTTTTAAACTATCAATTTTGTAAACATTTTTAAAGGTAACATTGAATAAAATCTCAATTTTTTATTTTACCCCACATGTCTCAAAAGCTTACCTAGTACAATCGAAAATGGTAACTAAACCTACACCTTTAAGGCTGTAATTCAGTTTTAAACAATTTCAATTCTCTCCCTAATCTCAGGGAAAGTGTGCAAATTTTAAAATAATGTCATTTAATTATACACAATAAGTAAAAAAAAGAAGAGATGGAAAAGGAAAAAAAAACAATAAAATAATCTAAAAGCTATAAACAACAACAATATCAACATTTCAAATACTGCACTTGACCAGTAATAAAATATTCTTGATATATGTCTAATACAAATCATTTATATTACATAAACTTAAATTAAAATCGACATCATGAGCATATATTATTATGTGTTAATTCACATACTAAATGCTTATATAAATAGGTTTACACTGCCTGTTGATAGTAAAGATGTCTAACAACTAATCCCTAGCTACAATATTAGTTTTAAGTATTTATTTGAATACAGGTCCAACATGCATTTTAGGGCATTACCTTATGCATTTTGCCCTTTTAAATCTGGGTAACATATAACTTTGATTATGGCGAAGTTATAATTAATACTACATTTAATTATTGTTCTATAATTTATTTACAAAAATAATTATGCCTGATTGAAACAATATATAAAAAAGAATATATTATTAATTAGTAAAGAAACAAATATACTTATTTTTTATACTTCACCATAAGCAAGATGATATGTGCGGTAGAAAACTACCCAATCCATTTTTTTTTCTATTATAACATTTTTATTTATAATAATTAATATTTATATATATCATAATTGTACACTGAAGGCAATTAAAGCCCTTTAATACGGTATATTGTATTTACACGTGGCCACTAGTTAATCCACTGAAATGTCTATTTCACAGCCGAATTCTGGTTAGATGCGACCCAGGAACTAAAGACGTCCCTGAAAAAGGGTAAAAAGTGGTTGTTAATGTTTTGCACAAAAGGTGATTAAAACACTGGTCCACCTACTTGCAATGAGTAACAACACATTCATTACTACAATACTCGTCCTCCCACTCCGAGTTGGCTACTGCTGGGTTTGGGCAGCCGCTCCTGATGCAGTGGTTGTTGGGAGTCTGAGCTGTCAGTTGGTCGCTCATTGGCTGCTCCCCGGAGGGCCCGCTCCCACCAGCCTGTAACACCACGACCACTAAACTTGATCATTGTCGATGCCCAAAACTCAATTTCATTATATACTATACTAAATACATAAGAAACTAATCTATTTGACCTTATATCACGCAAAAAAATCTTTATGAGGTATTATAGTCATTAATTATTATGGTCTCACTAGCAAATTATCCATCTACAGTCAATTTTCCAAAATGGACACTTCTAATAACTGTATATTTTTATTTTCCCCAGCATTATTTCATTTACTTTATGAACAAAGTAATTGTACCTTCTAATAAATGAACATCTACACTATGTTCATAGTTTTTTAAATTAAAAAGTTTTATAAGTGGTCAGGGGAAAAACTCAGTACTCCGTGAATGACAGATGATTCTAAAGTGTGTAACGATGCGAAGTCTTTGGCGCTTCCTGGTCAGTTTTCAATTCAGTTAACAGATTGTATTTAAATTTAAATTGTGTTTTGAACAAATATTACAGTTTTCATTAATTATTCTTTTTACGTAAGGTCTGTGTTGAGATGAAAAAGTTAGTGTTATGAGCGGGATACGAATCCACGACCTTTGGCTGGGTGCATTCAAATCCCGCTCGTGTCACTAACTTTTTGATCTCAACACACACCTTGCATAGAAAGAATAATTAATTGAAATAATTAATACGGTCAATTGGACCACTAAACGTACATGGAATGAAATTCAACAGTGTTACAACAAAGGTAGGGAACTAGATTGGTTTGAGAAATTGGAAATTAAAAAATGTAAAATTAAACATGGAGATAAACACATTAATAATATAATATTTTGATTTACTTCCTATTTAATTAAGTACCTAAATAATCTTTGACATACACATTAGTAATTATATTAAGAGGTGAAAAATCCCAAAGGCAGTAGTATAGAAGGTAGGTAAGGGTAGTAAAGAGTTGAGAAGGGCACAATTAAAATCAACTCAACATTGGTAACAATTAAAAATTCCTGCAGCATCTAAATCAGTAAGAATTGTAAAGTGGAGCAATATTGTAAATATTTGGAAACCAATTGTGGATGAACTTCAAAAAGGTACATCCCATTGTTCTTGGAGTAAAAAATACGGATGCTCAGTAGGGACTATTGGTAACATTCAAAAAATGAATACAACCTGTGTGAGAGGGATTCAAAAGAATAAAGCAGCCAAAACTCTCAGATGCCTTCAAGCAAGGTATTATTTGTTTAAGTGAAGTTGATGACGTTCAAATACGCCAGAAGGTCAGGTGGTTTTATAATATCGACATGCTGAAGGAGTTTGCCGTGTCTTGAGAAAAGGAGGCTTGCAAGGAAGGGCAAAAGTAAAAAAAAAAAAAAAAAAAAAAAAAAAAAAAAAAAAAAAAAAAAAAAAAAAAAAAAAAAAAACTATTAACAGATAGGCATAAAAAACTAAGAATATCCTTCACCAAAAATATGCCCACTACACAGAAAATGTCGTATGGTCGGACGAAACTAAAATTAATATTTTAGGGTCTAATGGCAAAGAGTGGATGTGGAAACGGTGAAATGAAAAATTGAGCGCAAGACATGTTAAACCAACAATTAAATTAGGGGGTGGAAGTATAATCGTATGGGGGCTGGTTTCATTGAAAATAGAAGGGAGAATGTCTGCAGTCGACTATATTGAGATTTAAGCCGTAGATTGATAGAAAGTCATAGAAAGCTCAATAAATGCAAATTGGATATTCTTTTCCAGCAGGACAACTATCTTAAACATACCGCTCGTGTGACAAAAACATGGCTTGGTGAAAATAAATTTCATTTAATAGAATGGCTACCACAATCTCCAGATTTAAGCCCTTTAGAAAATCTCTGGGCCCAGTTGGAGATCTGTCACTGATGTAAATGCTTCAGCATGCAACATGCAGCAATTGTGGGAAAATGTAGTGACCAAGTGGAATCAAATCACACCACAACAATGTGAGAAGTTGGTACAAAGTATGCCAAGACTGATCTGCACCATAATCAACATGGGTCGGGGCGATATCAAATATTAAAAGTTAACAACTCGTAAACTCATAATATTGATCAAATGTAAAAAAAAGTAAATTTTGTTCTGTACGTTTTTTGTTAATTCTACAACTAAGTAATAATCTTAGCAACAATGGAGATGCAATTTAACTGATATAAAATAATAAAAACATATGATCTATCGTTAAGCATACACGATTAGATCAATTTCATGAAATATTTTATTGCATTACTGATCAAGTTAATTCCTTAGGAAGATAGATTTGAAATTAATCTGTAGTGATATTCACCTGTTGTTGTTGCATATAGTTTGAGTTCTGATTGACTTGCTGGGGATTGGGCGGCGGCTGCTGCTGCTGCTGTTGTTGTTGTTGTTGCGGCGGCTGTTGCTGCAAGTGTTGTTGTTGTTGTTGCTGCTGTTGTCCCATGTGGCCCATCATGACCTACAAGGAATGACAAAGTTGATTAAATATCTGCAAAGAAATGTCGTTTAGAAAGGGCAAACAAAAACAAAGACGCGATAGGTAAGGAGAAACAAGTTACCTCTTGAAAAGGCGTTTTAAACAAGTATGACTCGTATTTTGTACCAATCATAATTAAAAGAAAATAAAGGTTTTATAAGAAGTTTTGTTTTAATACAGACTTGGATTTTGACAAAACAGTCGAGCCTGAAGTTAGCCAAGGATGGAAAGACACGTCCGATAATCGTAAGGATAGATTTGGATCCCTCGTTGTTATGAACGATGTTATGGCGTCAGTGCCGGGAGTAGGGAGCCAATTGGAACAGATGGACGGAGACAGTGTTGCCAAGAATCTTTCAGCCTTCGAATTTCTCGCAAACCTTTGAATATTATGTTTTTTTATTCTGGCCCAAAACCAAAACCAAGACTTTTTAAAAATTAATACTTAAAATGACAAAGTTGGTCGAATACTTTGTTTGAGATAAAAAAAACAAAAAAACAACGCAACGGTTTTTTATTCCTTAAAACAATTTCAAGTTTTATAAAATTGGAACACTAATTTTTTTCAAGATCGCACATTTTAGCTTTGAAAACTAGAAACTGCCATTTGACAGATTTTTATTCTGAAAATGAACCTCATATACATAAGTATTATTGCAGTAAATCGGAAAGGATACTATCTAGATTGTGGACTCCTTATTATCCTATCCTAGTATCAGTTATCCTTCCTCTCTCACGGGAAAGGAGATGCATTTTTGTGCCTTTATCCCCCACAAAATATTCAATCCCACGGAAATGTATTTATGAACATCAGTCATAAAAATTGTAATAATGTATGAATGGATAGAGGGATAAATGAGGTGGCCACAAGACTTTTCGTACCTCGACTTGAGTAAACCTCTTAAACTCCTCTAGTTTTAGTAACTCACTGGCCAGCTTCAGGCCAGCGGTTCCTTAGAGAAGGAGGTTTTCGGTTTTCTGCTTTTCCTCTCCTACTTGCGAGAATCTGCACCTGCATTTTCACCCTCACAAAACAAAAAACGTGTTCTGTGGTCTTTCCTTTCAGGCATTATCTCAACAGTGTTTCTTCTGTCTGTACTCCTATCCTGTACATGTACTTCTTAGGCGGCAGCGCCCCGTTAGGACTACAACCAGAATCCTGGTACAGTTGCAGTTACCTTCGAGTAATTTGTAAGTCTTGAGGATGGCCCTTCTACGAATCTCTTCGCGTGCCTCATGCCTGTAGTATTGTTTACCAGGTTTTGAATTCATTAAAGATCCATTTTTGGATGTGTTCGTTTTTGTGGCAAGATGCTAGGTCACAGTAGGGTTCGGAGCCTAGAGAATTCATTTTGGCTCCTTTTTTTGCCAAACTGTGGACATTATCGTTGCCTCCCGAATGCCCTGGGATCAATACCAGGGTCAGGCCATTGGTATTTCCGATTTCTGCATACAACTCCATACGCTTTTTATCTTTACCTCGAATGAGGATAAGTGCCGCCTGACAGTCAGAGAAAATGGCTATTTCCTGGAATGTGTTCCTAGCCTTTTTATTTCTCTGACGCATTGTTCAATCGGCCCATATGCCAATATTGGTTTTACATCATTACATCATTTTGGGACACATAATGTATGATAACGATTTGACGATTGCAGTCACCCAGTCTTCGAAACTAAAGCCCGAGATAGGAGCAAGATGATCTTTTCAAAATGGTGGCAGAAGGAAAGTCAGAATTGAACTATGCCAGGAATTGATATTGATATTATGTGTGAAAATGAATTTGGAATGATGCTGTAACACAAAGTTCATCAGCCAAATATTTGAAAGAACAGTTTTAAGCCTGCAAGTTTCTCAAAATTTCCACCGCGACAATCCGTGTTATTTTATGAATTGTAATAAACAATTTGATGAAAATTGGCGTTCTCAGGTCCGTCTAAATTTTGAAACTCGAAAAAGATTTGAACTTTTTTTTACTTCACATTGCAGCACTTGCACCACGACTACAATATCAAAGTACAACAGTTTGCCGAGGATGAAGATTCCTGTACAGAAATTCAATGTAGTTCGTTTCCCTAACTTCGATACTCAATTTCGTCTCTTTTCGGAAGAATCAAACTTTAGAACAACAAATTGCTCAGGTGACATCCAGAGAGACTTTGTTACAAAGATTCATCCTGTGTAGGGGATTCATCCGCCTAGGAATGTGCCACCTGTTTGATTTTTTAAGTTAAAAGTGGGGTTGCTTAATTTAATGTTAAACCCTTGGCAAAAGCCTCCAGGGATATGTTCGATATCGAAAAGAAATGATATTCACGTTATATGATCATCGGAAATAGTATAGTGCAGCTATATTCCCCGTTCTTCGCCGAAGTACATGATGTATCTGACGGATTATTACAACGCCCAAACCCTCTCTTGTGCTGTTGAAAGAAGAAGGACAAGAAAACCAAGAAAGAAGACAAATGTGGAGACATAGTAAAATTATAATATTTTTATGACTGAGTATATTCAGGATTATTGTCTAAATTATAGATAGGTTTTTAAAGTATTTAATTAAATTATTACCAAACTAATATTAGAATAAAATATTCAGATGAATAGTGACAACTTCTAAATCTGCTCTTGTAGTCTTAAGAAGAAAAAAATCGTTGTCATAAGAATAAGAATTTACCGAAGCAAGAGCTAGAAAAACAAGTTTATTATAAAGGAACCATGTCACATAGTCTCATTCCGTATTGTAATGTTTTATTTTCTAAATTTTTTTCTTTCATTCATCACAGTGAATATTCTTGAATTAAAATTGGCTTATATGCCACTTTTATGAGGGCGTTTTGAAAAATTTTTGGTTATGTGGACTTTTTTGCTACAAGGAAAGTATTAAAACGCAAATCTGTTGACTGGAGATGGGAGAAATGTCATGTCCAACTCCTGAAAAGCAACAACTGGCAAAGTTTAGCTTCTCGCAAGAAAGACCTCAAATCCCACTCGAATATATTCATGAATAATTATTCAGAAATCGTGAAATGCGGTCTGGTGTGATGTAGGTTTCAGAAAAACATTTGCTTTATCGTGACAACGTTTCAATCTTTTATTGAGATCATCTTCAGGGCTCAAAGTATTTAAAAAAAAATTACTGTGGCTTTATGTATGTCGTTAATTCTGGTGTTTGACTGTGTTAATGTGGCATTTGTGAAGTTGAAATTGTTCTTGATGTGACCTTGTGTTGTCTGCATTCTCAACACGACACTCAAGGATGGCACAATTATACAGTAGACAAACACTTTGAGCCCTGAAGATGATCTCAATAAAGATCGAAACGTTGGCACGATAAAGAAAATGTTTTTCTGAAACCTACATCACACCAGANTTCGATATTTATTGAGATCATCTTCTGGGCCTGGGATGTACAAGCTTTGTTTACATTTAACAAATACATGTAGAATGTGGAAAAAAGTGTATTAATACAATGCAAAATATATTTTTTTATATGTAGAGATTAGTGACCGTTAATCGATAGTTATTCAGATATCGTGAGATGCGGTCGGGTGTGATGTAGGTTTCAGAAAAACATTTTCTTTATCGTGCCACATTTCGATCTTTTATTGAGACAAAGAAGACAAACACTTTGAGTGAGTAGAAATATTTTGTTTGAATATAAAATATATTTTGCATTGTAAAAATTCACTTTTCCACATCCTAAACGTAATTGTTAATTGTAAACATTGTTTGTAAATCCCAGGCTCTGAAGATGATCTCAATAAAAGATCGAAACTTTGGCACGACAAAGAAAATGTTTTTCTGAAACCTACATCACACCCGACCGCATCTCACGATATCTGAATAAATATTTTTTTATATTCAATCAAAGTATTTCTACTCACTCAAAGTGTTTGTTTTCTGCGTAATTCTGCTATTCTTGCGTGTCGTGTTGAGAGTGACAGTGAGATATTGCTGTTTTATGTTTATATACGTTGGATTTTGAAGGGGCGGGGAAGGAAGTCGGGATAGAAAGACATTTTTATATGAGGAGTCGGCTTCTTTGAGGTGAAAGGAGCCGACAATGGGAAAAATGGGTAATGGTTCGCCCTGATTATCATTTCAGGATTACATAGACGGGGATAATTAGGGAAAGGAAAGCCAAATTGTTGAAGAATCAGACTATTTAGAAATATTTGATGTGTGGAATGTGATGAATATTTTATATGTTATATTATATGTTTTGTGTGATGTGATGATATATGTATGTTATCGATATTGAATTTGATTAATGATATTGGCGTAGCTGGGACTGAGTTTACATGTGTCTGTTCTGTAATTGATGCTGTGTTTATCTCTGTTGATGTAAACCATTTCTTAAAAGTTACGTTTATGTTTGTTCTGTGTGTAATGTTTTTGGATTTTTGAAGTCGAAATTGTGTTTGTGTTCAAAATGGTGGGTAGCGAGTGCTGTAGGATTTTGCTTGGGTTTTTTGCAATCATAGATATGCTACCTTATTCAAAAATGTCTTTCTATACCGACTTCCTTCCCCACCCCTTCAAAATCCTACGTATATAAACATAAAACAGCAAAATCTCACTGGCACTATCAACACGACACTCAAGAATGGCACATTTAAGCAGAAAACAAACACTTTGAGTGAGTAGAAATACTTTGATTGAATATAAAAAAATATATTTTTTGCATTGTATAAATTCACTTTTTTCCATATCCTACATGTATTTGTTAAATTTGAACAACGTTTGTAAATCCAAGGCCCTGAAGATGATCTCAATAAAGATCGAAACGTTGGCACGATAAAGAAAATGTTTTTCTGAAACCTACATCACACCAGACCGAATCTCACGATTTCTGAATAATTATGGACTAACGGTTACTAATCACCATATATTCACGAAATTTATTTTATATTTATAACGTCAATTTGATTGCGGTGACGAAGGATTATGAAAAATTAAATCAATTTTTCGGTAAAACTGCTGTTTTTAGTATTTTAAAAGTTAAGGGAAAGGAGGAGGTCTCGAGGCCCATAGGTAGAGAGGGCTCGTGCTGCAGAGATGGATCAAGAAGTTGGTGCAAAACTTTAGTTCGTTGACAAAAGGAATGTTGAGGTTGTTGTGGATAGTGTAGTTAGTGACGTAGTAAGGACCTTTGACAACTTTGTCTGAGGACTTTCGGTTGGCAGGATTGGATCCGTTGGATGTTCGATGCTTGGCAGAACCCCAGTTCTACTCGGCATGTCCAATGTGATCGCAATAAAGTCTTATATAAGGTTGGTTTAGTTTTGAAATTTCGGTCCTAGAAGTCTTCTCTTGAGTGGGGATTCCTCATCACTCTGCTGCTTAGGTACAGTCTAAGAAACTTGAATAGAAGTCGGTATCTCTTTGTGTTTGATGTACAGTGGAGGGCAAGACTGTTTTTTCAATGCGAACGTACACAATGAGCCTTGTCCTCCACTTTGTGCATCAGTATTCGATAAGCTCAAGGTGTTTTTGATTGAGGGAGGTAGGTTGGTTTTAATTCGAATTACCCAATAACATCATCGTCCACATAGGAGGTATGATCGTATTAGGATGTATAGATAGGTCAGCAGTATAAATCGTACAAAGGATGGGACCAAGAATGCTCCCTTGTGGGAACCGGCTTGTATTTGTCTGACTTCCGAGAACTCATCGCCAAATCTCACTCTGAAGCAGCGGTCGGTAAGGTAGGCCTTCAGCATAAGGTAATAAGGAAGTTGCAATATCAAATGCACAGCATGACCGGGTGCAATATCACGAGCCTACGCTACATCTAGGACAACACAAGTTTGTTCTGGAGATTTATTTTCAAAGTTAAGTATTTGAATATACGAAGCGCCGACTTAACTGCAGGATTCATTAAATATAATAATAATTAATGTGTTTGGGTTCTGGTTTCTGGTCAGATAGAGTAAGAAGTAGATTCTGTGATCACTTGCCAAGCTTTCGGCCTTTACAAGATCATCATCAGAGCCTGAATAAATATTAAAACATTACATTATTTCTTTAATTACAATTTTTTTGGTTTGTTTTAACTTACAACATCCTATTTCATATGTTAACATTACAGAATGACGAAAAAACCCCGACGACATCGACTACGAGGTCCTGAAGTACATGGGGTTGGTTAAGTCGAAATTAAGTCAATTTTTTTCTATAATTGATGTAAAAAACTAGATTAAACCATCAATTTCAATAGTAAAATAGGTCGTTTTTTAAAAGGAATAGTAATTAATTTTGGGGAGACCGCTATCCTTGGTAATCCTTTTCAAAAACGACCTATTTTACTATTGAAATTGTTGGTTTAATCTAGTTTTTTTTACATCAATTATAGAAAAAACTGATTGTCTTAGTCGATGTCGTGTGTTTTTTCGACATTTTGTAATGTTAATATAAGAAATGGGATGCTATAAGTTAAAATAAACTAAAAAAACTTGTAAGTATAGCAATAATGTAATGTAATATTTATTCAGGTCCTGATGATGGTCTTGTAAAGGCCGAAAGCTTGGCAAGTGATCACAGAGTCTACTTCTTTCTCTATCTGACCAGAAACCAGATCAAAATAACATTAATCGTCGTGGTCGATTTTTTCTTCATCAAAATAATAATTAAGTCAACTGTGTGACCTTTCTGCAGACTTACAAAAATAGTTGCTCTGAAATTCTAGGTTTAAAAAAATACCTATCGTTTAACAAAGTATCACCGATTAAGGATGTATTCTTGTTTGGGAGAACGGTGGAATTTGAAGCCGATTGCACAATAACCAGATGAAGTTGTTTCAGCTTAAAAATAGTGTAGGTGACGATTTTTGAGTTTTGCATGCAAGATTGTTTACCTGTTGCATTGTCGGTTGAGGTTGTCTGTTGTCTGGCATCATGTGGGGTTTTTTGATGTGGCCCTGGGGGGACGGAGCGGATATCGGAGGGGACGGCAAGCCGGTCGGGGGCGAATAGCCGTTGTACGCTCCGCCACCGCCTCCACCTCCACCGCCTCCGCCGTAACCGCCGTATCCGCCGTAAATCGGCTCCTGCTCTCCGCCTCCCTGCAATAAAAATAATTTGACCTTATCATTTGCCAACATGGGGTGGAAAAATTAAAAAAAAATTACATTTTATTCGGAAAAAGAAAATGTTTATTTTTTTTATTGCTGATTTTTGTTAGTGCCATTAAAACTAACATTAGTGCGACAAAAATCGACAAACGGTTGTGCAACCGGTAGAAATAAGCCGAAAAAATAAGTAAAAAGGTTTAAACCCAGAAAACAAATAAAATTCGGGTGGAGCAAAATAATATATTTTTCATATAAACGCGTTAAATTTTTTTATGTACCTTCGAAACTAGACTAGCCCTGTAAGCAGCAAGCGCCTTCAAATAGTCCTTCTTGGCAGCTTCGGTCTTCTTCTTGTAAACCTGGGAGAAAAAAAATTAATTAATCAGATCATTTGTAATGTCTGTCATTAAAAACCTATAGGCAGCGTTTGAATAATCGCATAAATTTCGAGAGAGGGAATAGAAATATCCTCCCAGTAAGAAACAAATCAAAAGGAATAATTGAGAGGACTCACAGCATACTTGATACACTCAGTATTATTTACGTCTTTTCAAGTATTCTTTTGTGCCGGGATACATTCCTTGCCTCATTCTCTTTCCGCGAGTGAAAAGGAGCCTTTGCTACCATTATTTTTCATGCTGAATACATTTATAAACCTTACTCATAAATGTTATAACTCGTCTTAGTTCAATATGTAGCTCGCGATGTTAAATAAATGAACTAAAAAGATATAATAAAATACTACAAAAACAAAAGTTACTTACGTTTTTGTGTTCGGCGTCCAATGCGTCCCACATGGATGCGACGATTTTGGATACTTCTCCAAAGCTGGCGTTCGGATTTTGTCCTTTTATGGCCGCTTGAGTATCCCTGAAGAAAAGCGCGTAGGCTGAAACCGGCCTGAAAATAACGTGAAAAGTATTTTTTAAGTCTTTTAGTTAATTGCACCAGGTTACTTCGTCTCAACATAATTTATTGTTAACACGCGACGTCGTACTTTTTAAAAATAAAGGAACATTCATCAAACAATAGAAACAAGAGTTTTGATCCTGATCCCGTCCATAACTTCAATCCAGTCACGCAACATTCAAAACGAAGTAATATCGGAACTTTCCAAATTTCCGCTATCGTCCTAATTTTCTTAATCGCAATAATTTCAATAGCAAACACTCTTGGTGGCTATTTTTGACTCCACGAAGCAAAAGGGACTAGGGTACAAAACGGAAGCATGGGAGACTGGCGTAATAAACCATACCACACACAAGAAGTCAGTTTCCGTAGACCTCCATCCTTGTACAAGAAATCGGAAAGAATATCTAAATCGATAACTGAAAAATGACTAGTGTGAATTAGAAAATAAATGAGGGAAATATTATTTTTAACCAAAACACAAGATTTAGAGGTCATTGGACTTGGGGCTATTTTAGTCATATGGAGCGCAAAATTGATGAATTGCTAACAACCTGAATCTACTGCCCCGATCTACTCCAGTTAAACGCTTTTTGTCGTCTTATGCATACACCTTCAAGATTAAATATAACCAATTTTTTTATATTATTAATCGGCTTAACTTAATCTTGGGGTATGACTTTCTGATTGTTGAAGACGAGAAGTTTCCTGAGAAGTTGCCTAGAGATGATTCAAGCTTGATCACGACCAATTATCAATCGAGATATTGCTTTCCTAGGCTAATCGGCTCTGAGAAAATGATTCCAAATTATTGCCTCTTTCATTGCATACCCCACAGTCAACACTTCAAAATCCTTTATAGTGAAACCTTTAAAGAAATTCAGATGCACAGCGGAGGAACATTTATACTTGTACGGTGCGGCTACTTGACACATTCCAAAATGAAAGTTGTTTTACTTTTGTGGTTCGTTAGGGTCTCTTTTCTTCTTTTTCTTTTGAGTTTTGGGCTTTTTCTGAATTTTGGCTAAACTGTTCTCCGCCGGTTCCGGGGAAGGCCGTTTCATTCCGGCAACCTGGAATCATACATTTAAAGTTATTAGTGATATTCGGCGGGCGGGTAGATGGTGCGATTAATGCAATCATACTTACGAGATGCGAATGAGGCGTCGAATCGTCGCTGTCGTCGCTCGTAGTCGTCGTCTCGTGGGGCATCGTCCCCTGGGGCGACTGGGCCTGCCGTCCTTGCGGGGAGCGCATCGTCCCCTGCGGTGGGCCCATGCTGTACTGCTGCAACTGGGCGAGCGAATTCTGCGGCATCCTGTACCCGTTTTGCTGGTTGTAGTTGCTGGAAGAGGAAGGTGTCAGTTACAGGGTATAAGATCCCATCGTAGTTACTTACTTCATGCCCATTCCCATGTTGTGCTCCTGCGGAGGTGAGAGGTAGAGCGGTTGGTGATACGCCGTGCTTTGATCACTCATGGTCATCGTCGTTTGACTCATCGGCGGCATTGATATCTACAAATTAAAATCAATAATGATAAAAAAAGTTGTAAAAACAGGTTTAAACATGATTCTGAACATCCCTTTTCAACAGAAGTGAAAAAAAAAAATGGTCGACATTTATGATCTCTATCAACTTTCACAACTTACTTTTACCAATTTTTTGTGGAAATTCCATTTTATTATGTTCTGATTTCTTTTTCTTGGCAATATCTGTTTACACTTATTTCTGATGCTCCGAGTCTATAGATATGGCTTCAGAATCCGCAGTGTCTAGTCAGCAGTCCTAAACTAAGTAGCTCTGCCATTGGTTTCTACGATGGTTCTTTATGATCATATTCGTTTTCTCTGTCTTGCAATACAACTGAGGACTTACTCTTAACCATGATGAATCTACGTTTTTGGCAGTTTGGTATAGCGTAATAGGATACAGTGACAGCCTTGTATGCCATAGCATCAAGCAAGGATAATTTGTTGTTATCAATGTCTGACAGGACTCTAATGCAATCCAAACCGGCGTTGAGATAGTTGCACTTAGTGCGAGAAGACGACCATTATTTTATAATTAATACATCGTTTATTAATGGGGGACCGCGGTAGCCGAGTGGTTAGCATGAGAGACTCTCACGCCGCGGTCGTGGGTTCGATTCCCACCGTCGCCTCTGGCCCTTTTTTCCCGATAACCCACAATTTGAACACACAAAGAATTCGTACCATGGCTAATATGCAAGATCATAAGGCCAATAAAAAAAATAAAAATGTTCTGATTTGGTATGGACATTGTTGAATCCTAATCTCTCTTTTACATCATAGTTCTAGTTTTGAACTGCATTTAAAAAAAGTTGCAAGTATTCTGCGATTTTAAAATATGTTATAAGTATCGGCTGGAAAATGGAAATTAGATTTCTTAAACAAACACAAAACAGGAAATTAGATTGAGTTCTACGGGGTGATGACCCTACAGGTTTCCGATCATCCTGCATGACCTTGCTGGTTTGATCTGACAGCTTTTCGGCGTTCCACCATTTTAAGTAGTTTGGTCTATGCGCTTTTTCGTGTGTATGTCCTATTTGAGTGGTAAATGGCGAAATGCGTTTTGCAAATCAAACCAGGGAGGATAGGCAGACCAGAATGACCGAAAACTACCAAACTTCTTTAAGTGTACAATCGCCTAGTTTTAGGGGTTTTATTTGTTTAACAATTATTATAAATATTAGTTATATATGAAAATGTTATCGTTGCAATAAATTTTTAACGTCAAATCCTTTAAATTCTAAAAAGTAAAAATCTTTTATTCAATCGAGTCGGAGCATTAGTTAGGAAGATGATTCATCGCTAGACCACATTTATGTGCAAGTGCGGAATTCAGGGAATGGCCGGGACGAGAGTCGAAAAGTTCCACAGCCTCCAATAACGCGTGCGATTTCCGCATTTCAACCGATGTAAATATCTTCTGGGCCCTTGGGTTTCCCTCTGGGGAGTCGAACAATTTTCCCAGCGTAAAAATCAAATTACCAACGGGCTACTTACCGGGGGCGGATGATAGGGCATGTGCTGTGGGCCAGAATTGTGATGAGGGTTGATAGGCGGTATATCAAAGTCCTCGTCGCCGAAACTCGGCGTGTGAAAATTCTGAAACAGAACGAACGAGATGAATTATTTGGACTGACACTATCTAAATTTAAGGTGCGCGCAATGTCAACACGTTCACTTGAAAATAAATTATATCTGGTAGGAAAATAAACAAAAAAGAAAGGTAGAATTGCATTATACATATTCATATAAAATAAAATATATATCTCAGACGTAATGAGACACTGAGTGGATAGAAGATTGATAATAGTGATAAAGATTTAGGGGTTTATCACACCACTCGTTTTAAGAGTTATTGTATTCTCTGTTCTTTAATTACAGAACGCCAGTGAGTCCTAATTCATTAAAAAATTTAATTATTGGATGTATTTGCAAAGATTGGGTCGTAGTCTCAAAACGCTTGAGAAGAAGTGTAGCATCAAAGATTATCAAGCTTCTTTAAAGAATTATCACATACATCGTGTTGGTTGATGTCAGTCTTTCTCAGATATCCATTGAGACAGGCTATATATATAAGCCCTGGTTCACACTGAGTAAAATATTTACCGCGGAAACATTAGATACAAGTTCTTTTTATGTAAGGTCTTGGTTGAGATGAAAAGTTAGTGTCACGAGCGGGATTCGAACCCACGACCTTCGGCTCGATTCAACGCTGCTCTAACCACTTGAGCTACCGATCCACTTGGGCACCAACTCCCTATCTCAACCTACAACCTTTCGATTTTTTTCCATTTTTCAATTTTTGCCATTTCGAATCCCGCCCGTGACACTAACTTTTTCATCTCAACCAAGACTTTACATAAAAAGCATAATTAATTGAAAGAATTAACTTGGTCAATTAGACCACTAAAACATAAATGGATTAGATACAAGATTTTTATCCTAAGATAAGTGAAGTTCATACCACAGTGATAAGACATGAGCCAGCCAGCCCCAATCACTAAGCCAATGTCCTCACAATTTGAATTTGCTATCTTGCAATATCGTACGACACTGAAGTAAGAGGCAAGCAAGCCGTGTCTGTTCATACACGTATCTACGACACATGTCGCAATCGTACAAGTGTGAACCAATTTTGACGTTCCTTCACGTTTTTTATAGTCCTGAGCGTTGCGTATCTTACAAGACAATTATCGTGTATCGCTTACGACCTAAAGATGTGTATCTTATCGCTCGATCTGAGCCCGGCCTAAAGCCGGAGACACACTTAACCGATGCAACGCTATGCGTCACTACCCGACGACTTGCCACGTTTTGGTTGGGTGTGCACATCTATACGATGGTAAGCGCACGCCTTGTACAGTCAAACAGCGTGTAGTAATAGTATCACAATCGCAACGCCTGATTTGTGGGTTCGAATCCCGTTCATTACACTAATTTTTCGTCTCAACCAAAAACCTTAGATAAAAAGAACCATTAATATGGTTAATTATGACCACTAACCAAATGTGGCTTATTGCTAGTGTTGATTTCTTGAGAAACTTTCTCCTACTTTGGCCGAGAATATCTCTGTTGTGATATTTTTTGTCGTTCATGTCCCACAAACACCGATTCTCAAAAACAAGACTAATCAGTTTATCTATGTCCATCGTGAAATACCAAAACTGTCTAAATTGAACGTCAGAACGCACAAAAAATCTAACTGGTTTGAATGGTTCTGACCACATCGTACGTGTTCTGACATGCACTTCGCTACTAAAAGAAACACTCATTGGAAAACAAGTATTTGTTTGTTCGGATGAACTTGTCAGAACAAAATTTCGTCAGAATTCACATTCATAGTAACCGTAGCCTTAGGTTTCTGAATCTCTTCCAGCTACCTCTGATGCAGTCTGCAATGTCTTTTTTTAATTTGCGGGGGAGGGGGTTCTTGAAATTCTTGTACCTAGCGAGTGATCATCACTCTCAATCTGCCTTCTCATCTAAGATGTTTACGACAGTATGGTCCCCTATCCTACAATAGGGTTTTGGGTCCTATCGGCAGTGTGGCTGATTCATTTCTTGCATGTGCTTCTTCTTTCTCCTCTACTCCTGCATTTCTGGACTCCAGTATAAGGCGATTATTTTGCATAGCAAGCTTATTTAAGAAGATCCTGCCAATTAGAACCATCTAATACCCCCCAACCATCTAACCAAACCAAGATGTATGTTGCTTACCTGACGTGTATTCTCTCAATAAATTTTGTATTCTTTGATCAAATTGAATTAAGTACATCTCTCCAGACTTCAGCTTGAGTACTTAATGTAGGGAGATAAATGCTCTGGTCCTGCACTTTCTTGCCCTGGTATAACAATAGTTTGTTCCTTCCTTGACCGGGTGTTCTCAAAAGGTCATCGTGCGGGCATTTCGCATCAAATTTGATTGTTTATCTAGAAATGATTTAACTGATTTTATTTCCCCCCTCCTCTAAAAAGGAACAAACCTTAATGGACGTTTGTATGGAATTGTATAAAAATCGGCTTTAAAAATATGTCTGTGCTATCTGTTGCACTTAAATAAGTAAAGAAATTGAACACAGAGGATTGTGTAGAAAAATATGAGGGGCAGAAGGTATTTTTTAAATAGTAAGTTGTATAAGTCGTGTGAGTAATATAGTGTAGGACTATGGAAGAAGAGGCAATGGAAGTAATCGCTTTAGTGTTCCACTCGGGCGACGCAATGAAATCCGTGAATATTCGTTCAGAAAACGCATTCCAGACGAAATAATAATAGGAAGGAAATTGAATTCGTCGAGGGGGCGGCGTGCGAGGGCGGCTGAAAGGAGGGGCGGCGAAGGAGGGGAGCACGTCAATACCAAGCCAGAGTTTTCAAGTAACAAGATCCAATTTGAGTTTTGTAAAAGTTTGTTCTTGGTAGGAAAAGGGCTGAAGGAATATGCGAGACATGTGTGGGGGCCGGGCCCGGGGACGGGGACGGGGACGGGGATGAGGATGAGGAGTGGCGAAGGGTGTATATACACACGGGGGATGGGAATGCAAACAGAGTTTACTGGCGTAACAAACAGAGGAGCGCTCGCATACCTAAACAGAAATCATTTTAACTTCAAAACACAGCTTCTATTTATTGCGGAGGCCGGCTCCCAGGGCCACTCTCGGCCCTAAATTATTTAAATTTATCCATCGTAAATTAGAATGAAACAAAGGAGGAAAGAGTGTAAAATTAACTTGCTTTATTAAAGCTCACTCTTTATTCAAGTCGGGCATTTATTTTTCACACCGCTACACGCTCTACTACAAAAAGAAAGTTAAGAAATGCTAAATAATAAATATCATCAACATCAAAGGAAAAAGGCTGCGTACATGGTACACAATATTTAAATTTAGCAACACACCAGTTTGCAAACCAAAATCAAAATGGGAAAGGTCCTTAAATAATTAATTGTCTCCAAGTGTCACATGTCCAATTTTTATCGATACAATGCAAAATACACGATTTCATTGAAAACATTATTGTCTTCAGCAAAGAACCACAAATTTATAAAAGAGGATTTTAAACGCTTTTATAATAATGAAAAAATTATTAACTCTTTCAATTAATTAATCTTTTTATGTAAGGTTTTGGTTGAAATGAAAAAGCCAGTGCCACGAGCGGGATTCGAACCCACGACCTTCGGCTAAATAAGCTGCTGTTCTAACCACTTGAGCTATCGTGACTTCGATCCACTCGGACACCAACTCCCCATCTCAACCTACAACCTTTCGAATTTTCCCTCCTTTTTGCCATTTTTCGAATTTATTAATCAATTAATCTAGAATTATAAATCAAATTTATTAAGGTTTATTGTTTTTGTCGTTACAAATAATTGTAAATGTTGATTTGTCTGTCAGCCTCAGGGTGCCGGTGTTTTTGAAAAAAAAAAAAACCATTTGTAAGTATGTCGGGCCGCTGGATTCGAACCCGGGACCTTTACCTTACAGTGATGAGCGCGTTCCGTGTTGCGGCCACCGACGCACTTTTGATTTGTCATTCCTCCAGTGGATCGGAGTTACCAAACTAACCTTGCAGATATATTACTATTTATATCTTTTCGAGTCAATCGTATATACTATAATTCATACATAATTTGATTGATTGATTTTTTGTATACCGATAATATGCATCATCATAAATCTTTACAAGTAATTAATAATAATATTGGGAAATTTCCTGGAAGTTGGGGAACAACCGGCTTGTCCAATTTAATCTAATAAAAAAGCACAAAAAGGAAGAAAAATTCAACGTCAAAATGAAACAAAACTCATAAAAAAGAGACAATAAACATAGCGAAGAAACAAATTAAATTGAATTTTTATTTTTTGTGTTTTTTTATTAGGTTAAAGTTGGTCATTACAACTTCTGTATTGTTGTACTTTTTTTTCTTTGTCTGTGTTTAGTGTAGATATTTTGTCTAACTTTTCTGCTTTAGTCGTTCGCAATGTTTATTGTCCCTATTTTATGTGTTTTGTTTTATTTTGCTTTCTTTTTGTTCTTCTTTATTACGTCAAAGATGGGAAATAAATTTTGCCCAGGACAAAAAGAAAAATTTGTAGATTAATCCCATTCCCCTTTATCACACCGTCAACAATTTTCCATTTAACATAAAATTTCTGCAGTTTGGTTCGATGTAACTAAAGAAAAGGGTACTCTAGATAAGCTAAAAGCTTCTTATTCGAAGAAATAATTATTAAACTTGTCAACCTCTGCCATGAATTTTTGGGGTTGCAAATTTATTTTTTTTTACATATTTTTAATTTTAGCAGTTTAAAAAAAATAGTTTTTTAACTAAAAATTAAATTGAAAGTTCTACAATGGTACGTTCTTAAAGTAAATTTGACGCTCTTTTCAACGCTTTATTTGTATTTCTCCAAAAATGAATACTTCAAGAGTTACGGGTAAATTTGTGACGAAAACCGTAGATAGTTGAAAAAAAGTCTGCCAATTGAGTGAGCAGTACAGCTTTTTCTCATTTTTTGCATGCGCATGTACATATATTGGATCCGTTTGAAAAAAGATACATAGTTGACCATCTAGAAACCACGAACGATCTCTGAAAATTTCA